AAATTCATATTATTTTAATACCAAAAACAATAAAAAAAAAATAAAAAATTATTGATACTCGACATGAGGCCAAACCACACCAAAACAAAAAACGCCACGCTTTGTTATCTTATAGGATGTTTTTCAGTCCAGGGTAACCATAGTTTTGTATAGGTCATTCTAATTCCAGTATTAGAGATAAAATTAAATTCCATTTTACCACATGCTATTTCATCCACCCTTTCCATTATATCATCCAGGAAACACACCGGGCTGTAGTTTGGTGCGTAAATGTTAACAAAAATATATAGAGCTCTGTTAATTTTTGAAATAAGAATCAAATATCTACCAGTCGTATCTTTACATAAGTAAATAAATTCAAAATTAACTTTATTAGAGATAATACTAGCAGTAACTCTTTTTTCCGTTTCCCTTCCATATTTGAGCAAAATATTAACGGAAATTTCTTAAACTTCCAAAATCTATCTGGGTGATCAATCCAAGGTGTCTCCTGGATGAAAGCGATATGTATACGAATCCCAATCAGAAATGTATATACATATATATAAGTGGTTTGTAGATGAGTAGATAATAGAAACTTGTACAAGAGTAATAATAGTGTTCGTTTCATGTTTTAAGTCCTTTCTTATGGATTTTTAAAAGTGATTTAACAAATGTAAAAAATGCGCAGCCATTAAAATTAGCAGGTTTTTTTTGCATGTAACTTTAAATGTTCATTTATTTAAAAAATGTTTGCATTCTGTTTAGAAGTTCTTCAGGGCATAGTTTATCAAAACTTGTGCCGAAACCCGGGATCGAACCAGGGACCTTTAGTCCCCAACTGAGCTATTTCGGCTACTGTTTCTTTAACATGATGTCATTAAAAACAGTGACATGATAGTCTGTGCAGGCCACTCAGGTTTAGGGTTAGAAAATATGTTAAAAAATGCATTCTGATGTGAAAATGACCCATGTTTTTTTGTTTCTTGTATGTAATATTTAAAGGGACAGTATAAGCTCCCAATTACTCCCCCAATCAGTGTTAAAGGAACACTACAGTGTTAGAAATATAAAACTGTGTTTCCTATGGGGTTTTTCTAAACACCTCAGAAGAGGTGATTTCTGAGGAGAACACACTTCTGATTCTCATGCCTCCCCTGTGCTATGGTACTCTGTGAAGTTAATGGCTCCATAGTGCATGCTGGGAGACTCGATCCCCCACAATGCAGCAGGTGGTGTGAGGGCACGCTGGGAGACTACAGCCCCCACAATGCAGCAGGTGGTGTGAGGGCACGCTGGGAGACTACAGCTCCCACAATGCAGCAGGTGGTGTGATGGCGTGCTGGGAGACTACAGCTCCCACAATGCAGCAGGTGGTGTGATGGCGTGCAGGGGCTCTAGCTCACAGTACAGCCTGGCTGGTGTGAGGCATGCTGGGAACTACAGCCCCCACAATAATGCAGCAGGTGAGGTGTGAGAACCCCACTTGTGAGGAGACAAGATCTTCCCACCAATACAGCAGGTGGGTGTGAGGGCAGCTGGGAGACTACAGCTCCCACAATGCAGCAGGTGTGTGAGGCGTGCTGGGAGACTACAGCTCCACAATGCAGTTGGTGTGAGGGGCAACTGGGAGACTCTAGCTCCCTGATACAGCGAAGCGGTGTGAGGGCATGCAGGGAGCTACAGCCCCCACAGTAGCAGGTGGTGTGAGGGGCACGCTTGGGGAACAGATCTTCCCTGGCCACGGCAGGTGAGATTGTGAGGGCACGCTGGGAAACTTCACAGCCCCCACAATGCAGCAGGTGGTGTGAGGGCACGCTGGGAGACTACAGCTCCCACAATGCAGCCGGTGGTGTGAGGGCGTGCTGGGAGACTACATCTCCCACAATGCAGCAGGTGGTGTGAGGGCACGCTGGGAGACTACAGCCCCCACAATGCAGCAGGTGGTGTGAGGGCACGCTGGGAGACTACAGCTCCCACAATGCAGCAGGTGGTGTGAGGGCATGCTGGGAGACTACAGCTCCCACAATGCAGCAGGTGGTGTGAGGGCACGCGGGGAGACAACATCTTCCACAATATAGCAGGTGGTGTGAGGGCACGCTGGGAAACTACAGCTCCCACAATGCAGCAGGTGGTGTGAGGGCACGCTGGGAGACTACAGCTCCCACAATGCAGCAGGTGGTGTGAGGGCGTGCTGGGAGACTACAGCTCCCACAATGCAGCAGGTGGTGTGAGGGCGTGCTGGGAGGCTATATTTCCCACAATGCAGCAGGTGGTGTGAGGGTGTGCTGGGAGACTACAGCTCCCACAATACAGCAGGTGGTGTGAGGGCATGCTGGGAGACTACATCTCCCACAATGCAGCAGGTGGTGTGAGGGCATGCTGGGAGACTACAGCTCCCACAATACAGCAGGTGGTAGCTGAGAACTGCAGCACAGGGAACTGGCTCTCCCACAATGCAACCCAGGTGGTGTGAGAACACTTGTACAGGAGACTACAGCTCCCATAATACAGCAGGTGGTGTGAGGGCGTGCTGAGAATTTGGCAAGGTGGTGTGATGGCATGCTGGGAGATACAGCTCCCACAATACAGCAGGTGGTGTGGGAGCATGCTAGGAGACTACAGCTCCCACAATACAGCAGGCGGTGTGAGGGCGTGCTGGGAGACTACAGCTCCCACAATGCAGCAGGTGGTGTGAGGGCGTGCTGGGAGACTACAGCTCACATAATACAGCAGGCGGTGTGAGGGCGTGCTGGGAGAGTACAGCTCCCACTATATAGCAGGTGGTGTGATGGCATGCTGGGAGACTACAGCTCCCACAATACAGCAGGCGGTGTGAGGGCGTGCTGGGAGACTACAGCTCCCACAATACAGCAGGTGGTGTGAGGGCATGCTGGGAGACTACAGCTCCCACAATACAGCAGGCGGTGTGAGGGCGTGCTGGGAGACTACAACTCCCACAATACAGCAGGCGGTGTGAGGGCGTGCTGGGAGACTACAACTCCCACAATGCAGCAGGTGGTATCAGGGCATCACAGTAATATTCCCTCTGATCCCCATTTTCTCCCCCATAAATATGTCAGAAAGTAAGACCTACCTGAGGTGGAGCAAACCTTGGCCTATGGCTGCTCCTTTTTTGGTGTGACTTGTCTCTGGAGCTCCGTTGGTGTGAAGTGCTGACGTCTGTTGCAGCCTCCACTCATATAGGGACCTCTTCCACCTTGCCACAGCATTCAGAAGTGGATCTGTGGAAGGGAGACCAGGTATGTGTGTGGGCCGTGGAACACTGAAACGTGGTAGGCACCATCTTAATTTAGGCCCTGTGCAACAAGTGTTTATTTTAACCCCTGCAGTGACATTCCAGGTATAAGACGACCCCCAATTTTAGACAAAAAAAAGTGAAAAGAAAATAGTCTTATACACTGAAAAATATAGTAACTCTAAATTTTCAGTTATTTCAGTGGAACCTTATAGCATCTTTTAGATCTTCAGTGCATATGCGTTTTAACCCAGGGACCTGGTTATTTCTGGTAGACAGCCACAACCCCTTTAACACAAATTTGTTCAAAACATCTGCTGAATCCCAGGATCTTTAGATCTTCAGTCTAAGCTCTCTCAACTGAGCTATTTCGGCCACTATTACTTTATCATGATGTCATGGGAAACATGATGTGAAAACGATCATTTTAAAATAAAAAACAAAACATTTTATTCACTGCTGTGAAAATGATTTTATGGATCTAACTCAGATTTTTCAATTATTTACATTATTTGCATCCGTTAGATGCAGGAACTTCCAAAATTAGGGCGGAACAAGGCATGTTAAAAAGCCAAGCAGTGATTATGGTGATTATAATGTGTTTAAATAACAGAAACAATGAAACCTTATAGCATCTTTTAGATCTTCAGAGCATAGTGCGTTTTAAATGTTACGTGTTATTATGTTATATGTTACATATTATGTTATATGTTATATGTTATGTTATTTTATGTTACATATTATGTTACTATGTTATTTTATATGTTACATATTATGTTACTATGTTATATGTTCCTGCATAGATACTGAGAGCTGTTCAGAATATTTGCCATGACCCAGTCAAAGAAGGGATGTATAGATCTTCAGACAAACAGAGTAATTAGAGAAACTGTCCATTAAATTCACTGATCTGGAGCATTAGAACATTTCAATGTGAAAGTCAAAACTTAGGCCATAAACAACTGAACTGGGACCTGATTTTTAAAATGTTCCCACTTTAGCGATTTTGACCATAATTTAGACATTCTGCATCAAATACCCACATTCGAAATCATCACAAATAATCTAGGACCACTTGGAGGCATTTAGACGACAACCTCTGGCGTTGGTCACAGGATTTTACAACACCCCGATGTTTCTCCATTACCTACAAATTGACATAAATCAAAAACAAATTTTAGCCTGAAAAGGATCGCATGAAATCTAGAATCGAACTATGGGAATTTGGCTGAAGTCTAAGGTTCTCCCATTGAAGATAGATCAGCAGTTTATAGGCCATGTGTACAAATCACAGTTAAGCCATATATATCGGCCATTTGTGTCTCTTCACTGCTGCATCTTTCAGGGGTAAAAAAGTATTTATATTTTATTGTAACATTAAAGTGACATTATCCATTTAAATTATGGTTTTGGGGGATCTACATTAGGTCCCCATTTTTGTACTGTTGTGAATGTGAGCGAATCCCTGGATCACAATGAAATCGAGGGGGAACAGGCTGCGACAAGGAGAGAGATTTAGGCAAAGTATATTGACCTCCTTCTGGGTGTCATAGCAGACATATCACCTTGAAGGGTGTTTACATCAATGTAAATAAACCACTTCCTCTGTAGTTTGTCTTTAATTCGGCAATGCATTGTGGGAGTCAGCTGACCTCTTCCAGCACACAGTCACTCATTACTCCGAGGCAGCAAAACACAAAGCAAGAAAATGCAAGTTTGCCATTGAGGTTTTTTTTTTATTAAATATAAATATTTCTTATAACTTTACAGATAGAAAAACAATCATTTTTGCAATTTAGAAAACACACATAAGAAAAGAAAAACCGGGGAAGCCAAAATCTGATGTATAATTATACATATAATATGATATTTAGAGCAGGAACTTCTCTTCACAGGCAATGGAAAAAATTATTAAGGCAGGAAAATGGATTCAGAGCAGGAGTCACAGAGGGCGAGTTAAAGTGTAAAATAACTTTCAATGTCAAGAGAAAACATTTTAATTCACTAATGTCTCATTCCATGCAAAAAGTGATGTGTTATAGGATGCTATGAGGGCCCTGTGTGAGGTGTGGGATGTTATGATGGCCCTGTGTGGGGTTCTATAAGGGCCCTGTGTGTGGTGTGGGGTGCTATGAGGGCCGTGTGTGTGTTATAGGATGTTATGAGGGCGCTATGTGTGTTATAGGATGCTATGAGGGCGCTGTGTGAGGTGTGGGGTGTTATGAGGGCCCTGTGTGTGGTTTGGGGTTCTATGAGGGCCCTGTGTGTGGTGTGGGGTTCTATGAGGGCCGTGTGTGTGTTATAGGATGTTATGAGGGCACTATGTGTTTTATAGGATGCACACCGTGTGTGTGGTGTGGGATGCTATGAGGGCGCTTTGTGTGTTATAGGATGCTATGAGGGCCCTGTGTGAGGTGTGAGGGCACTGTGTGAGGTGTGGGGTGTTATGAGGGCCCTGTGTGAGGTGTGGGGTGCTATGAGGGTGCTGTGTGTGGAGTTGGGTTCAGTTAATGCTCTATATGTGGGTGCGTGCATTTCATGTAGGAATGATGTGGGTGTTGTATATAAAGTGTGTTAGGAGCTGTATTTGAAGGTATTTCCCTCATCTTATCACATTATGCCGATCCTATAACCTTTACCCTTATCACGTTATGCCTACTCTATGAAACTCCCCCATATCATGTTATGCCCACCCTATCCACGATCCAGAGAAGGTCATTGAATGATATAACACGCCAGCTATCACACAGTCCATTATTTCTCTGATAGAATCACATATCTCTGAATATCAGAATATGACATCAATCATCACAGCCTCCTGGGGTCATCTGAATCAGCAGAAAAAGTCTGCTGGGATCTAAGCAATCTTTAATTAAAGGGGACTTATACCAAGGAGACAATACTAACAAGACTTCAAGCGAGTTTGGAGAACTAGAATCCAATAGATTTTCTCTACACTGGCCCTGCGTGTGACATCACCACACAGACATATGTGTAAATGAGAGACGCTTTTACAAATGAATAAATGTGCATTGTGTGTTTTACACTCTATACATACATTGTAAACATCGTTCGGTGAACTACCTTCAGTTACAAGCAGTGGAAATGAAAACATTTAATCTTTTGCTCTGTTTTCAGACTACGGAGGAACGCACGTTGCAGGCGATAGGGGAGTGGAATGGGTTAATAAATAATTAGCAGGCCGCTTGGTGAGCAAAGGGTACAAAATATCTCATAATATCCAACATGATGCGCATAATAACGTCAATACGAGCCAAGTAAGAAGATTCATCTAACTCCCACTTAAAGCTCCATAAATAGAAATCGCTTTCACAGAAATTCAAATCCAATCTCATTAACCCTTCCCAGAGAGATTTACTAACGCGTGATAAGTGCAATGACTGTTTGCAGGGATATCATAAAGATATATTTATTAATATATATATTTGTACTGGGTAGAATATCCCCATATTATCACACCTTAATATATCACTCCCTTGTGTGCCAGAACCGGGAACAAGGTATGAACCCAGCACGTCTAGGGTTAAACTATATAAATATGCCATTTAAGGTTTATTTAGGTCTGATTGTATATTAAAAATAAAAAACAGCAACTAAAATGCCCTTGTTATCTAGTCTATATACAGTGCCACAGACTTTCATTTCAAAATATTAAAGGCATTTAACAATGCAATACCCAGCATGGCCACTAAGTGTCACTATTTTGACAGCTTGCATGCTGATTCATCATTTGTCTTCGACTGCTCAAAAATGAGCTACTATAATACTATATTTTTGTATTTGCATGGAATTCCAGAGACGTATCCGTTGCCTCCTATGTCCAGTTTTATAGGATAAGTAATGTCAGTGAAACGACTTTCTGGTTTTTCTTGCCATTTGGTGGGTGAGGAAATAGTGTGCTTCTCCTCGGAAGTCCTTATTGTACATTTTAACGCTTTCCACTTGCTTCACACAAGTCCTTAGGCCTCCATTTTGTCTCATTACACTTTGTTTGTGGACTTACAAAGGTTGTTTAGTGCAGTAGCAAAATGTCAACAGGAAGACATAAGGCAGCCATTTTGAACACAAGATGGCCACACGCTAGATTTTTTTGTTTTGTTTGTTCCAAGCCATAATCTTTATGCTTGATTTTTCCTCAGCCATTTTGGTATGAGTAAAGATAGAGAAGATCACACATGAGTCTGCATACGTTGTGTGGGTCTTCCATAGTCACAGGACGTGGAGATGGATGCGTAGGAAAGGCGTGAGAGTGTAGGCCCTGTCTCCAGTGTATCGTAGCGTTCAGGGCGAACGTAACTACAAAACGCTCTAGCGTACGGTGCTTGATGGTGACCAGGTCCTAGCAGCATGTGCGAGGGGCCCTGTGGCATGTGGATTCGCTCACTGGAATGGCGTGGGGTTGTGGCATATCGGTGCGAGTAGTCATATACCTTGGCTGGTCCTTGCAATGAGGGAGCAGCACACAGAGGTGTAAGAGTAGCTGGAGTTGAGTAGAGAGGCCTTGGGGGAGTGGAGAATTCTGGGTAGGAGACAGTGGTGGGGCGAGAGTCGTCTTGACCTCGTACTTTGTAGTATCCATTGGTTGGATCCTGTAAACAACAACAGTCTCAGAAACAGCTTGACATTTAAAGACATATTCAGTATCATGAGGAGCAATGTCCTTGTCTAAAAATGATCCCATTTTCAGAGGTGACTCCACGCTAATGAAGCCCTTTATCAGGGTATAATTAATATTTAAAGGGACACTATAGTCACCAGAACAACTACAGCATAATTTATTTCTTCTGGTGGGTATAATAGCTCCCTTCAGGCATTTTCATGTAAACACTGCTTTTTCAGAGAAAAGGCAGTGTTTACATTGCCCCTAGGGACACCTCCAAGTGGCCACTGCTCAGATGACCACTGGAGGTGCTTCCTGGCTCAGTGCTGCACAGTAAGCAGCCCTGCCATTCAGCGTCCTCACGCTCTGCATGGAGACGCTGAATTTTCCTCATAGAGATGCATTGATCCAATGCATCTCTATGAGGAGGTGCTGATTGGCCAAAACAGCGTTTGGCCCCGCTCTCTTGACAATTTTAGCCAATCCAATGCTTTCCCCATTGGAAAGCATTGGACTGGCTAAAAATCGGCAATTTTGATGATGTCACCAAGAAGCGGGGCCGCGCGGCGCTGGAAATAAGGTGGGTTTTAAACATTTAAAGGTGTAGGGGGCAAGACCCCTAAATGGTGGGTTTTCACTATAGGGTCAGAAATACATGTTTGTGTTCCTGACCCTATAGTGTTCCTTTAATGTGTTGAAAATGCAGTTAAATTCCATCACAACCAAAAATTATATGTTAGGGCATTCCTCCCAACATTTCACATGGACAAAGAAGGACACTTTCATTTTAGGGGTGTGAACAAGAACAATGCATCTTATTTACACAGACTGTTTTGTAAACACATTTATTATAGTTTAAAGACACATTACTGGGAGTATTATTACTGTGGAGCTCTGTTATACACAGACACATTACTGCGAGTATTATTACTGTGGAGCTCTGTTATACACTCAGACACATTACTGGGAGTATTATTGCTGTGGAGCTCTGTTATACACTCAGACACATTACTGGGAGTATTATTGCTGTGGAGCTCTGTCATACACTCAGACACATTACTGGGTATTATTATTGCTGTGGAGCTCTGTTATACACTCAGACACATTACTGGGAGTATTATTGCTGTGGAGCTCTGTTATACACTCAGCCACATTACTGGGAGTATTATTGCTGTGGAGCTCTGTTATACCCTCAGACACATTACTGGGAGTATTATTGCTGTGGGCTCTGTTATACACTCAGATACATTACTGGGAGTATTATTGCTGTGGAGCTCTGTTATACACTCAGACACATTACTGGGAGTATTATTGCTGTGGAGCTCTGTTATACACTCAGACACATTACTGGGAGTATTATTGCTGTGGAGCTCTGTTATACACTCAGACACATTACAGGGAGTATTATTGCTGTGGAGCTCTGTTATACACTCAGACACATTACTGGGAGTATTATTGCTGTGGAGCTCTGTTATACACTCACTCACATTACTGGGAGTATTATTGCTGTGGAGCTCTGTTATACACTCAGACACATTACTGGGAGTATTATTGCTGTGGAGCTCTGTTATACACTCAGACATTACTGGGAGTATTATTGCTGTGGAGCTCTGTTATACACTCAGACACATTACTGGGAGTATTATTGCTGTGGAGCTCTGTTATACACTCAGACACATTACTGGGAGTATTATTGCTGTGGAGCTCTGTTATACACTCAGACACATTACTGGGAGTATTATTGCTGTGGAGCTCTGTTATACACTCAGACACATTACTGGGAGTATTATTGCTGTGGAGCTCTGTTACACTCAGACACATTACTTGGAGTATTATTGCTGTGGAGCTCTGTTATACACTCAGACACATTACTGGGAGTATTATTGCTGTGGAGCTCTGTTATACACACAGACACATACACTCAGACACATTACTTGTATATTATTGCTGTGGAGCTCTGTTACACACTCAGACACATTACTGGGAGTATTATTGCTGTGGAGCTCTGTTACACACCCAGACACACCAACAACATAAGTCTATAAGTCGATCTCGTCTATAAGTGGAATGCAGTTTTTTGACCAACAATTGTGAAATATGCTATGACTCGTGGATAAGTTGTGTTCCGTTATTTGTACCTTGTTTCTAGTATCTCCCTACATTCTAATGGAATTGTTCCCCTTCTGTTCGGTTACCGAACAGACTCTGTGTGGTCCCTCTTGTTACCACCTGGTAACCACCGACCACCCCTGGCTGTTAACCACAAACAAGCATTCCCTGGGTGACCACCATTCGTATATACGAATGCACGTGTTCAAACAAACTTGTCTCCCGAACGCAGGCAGTGATACATAGACGGCATGGATCTCTGAGTTGTCTATGGAAGCGTTTGGGAGTCGAAATTTCCCCGCATTGAATGTACAAAACTAGCACTGACCCGTGGATAAGTCGACTCTGCGTTTTTAAATGAAATTTACAACTAAAATTTCTCGACTTATACACGAGTATAAACGATAATTGTTTGTTTTATTACTGTAGTTCAATATAAGTCCCTGTTTTTGTTAAAGTTAGTTTTATATGTGGTAATAAACGACAATTCTCTTGATTCTCAGTCACCCTGAGTGCAATTTGTATCTCACAAACTCTGCAGCACCATCTGCGCCACAAGTGAATTAGAGTTCACTCAATGTGAAATACAAAAACTAGCCATCACAGGGTCCGACTGACTGACTGTGAGTATACCTGCGGTTCATCGGGGATCTCACTGTGTTCAGTCTGTGACGTCCCTCGGGATTCTGTGTCTGTGTGCTGCAGAGAGAAAAGACCACGAAATATTAATATTCAGTGAGATAGAAACATAGAATGTGACGGCAGATAAGAACCATTCGGCCCATCTAGTCTGCCCAATTTTCTAAATACTTTCATTAGTCCCTGGCCTTATCTTATAGTTAGGATAGCCTTATGCCTATCCCACGCATGCTTAAACTCCTTTACTGTGTTAACCTCTACCACTTCAGCTGGAAGGCTATTCCATGCATCCACTACCCTCTCAGTAAAGTAATACTTCCTGATATTATTTTTAAACCTTTGTCCCTCTAATTTAAGACTATGTCCTCTTGTTGTGGTAGTTTTTCTTCTTTTAAATATAGTCTCCTCCTTTACTGTGTTGATTCCCTTTATATCAGAGCTACAATCCTAGTCCATCTATTGAACTGCTACTCCCAGTATGATCAGACAGCCGTCTTTTCGCCTTAAAGGACCACTCTAGGCACCCAGACCACTTCAGCTTAATGAAGTGGTCTGGGTGCCAGGTCCAGCTAGGCTTAACTCATTCTTTTATAAACATAGCAGTTTCAGAGAAACTGCTATGTTTATGAATGGGTTAAGCCTTCCCCCAATTCCAATTGTCTCATTGACAGCCGCTAGAGGCGCTTGCGAGCTTGTCACTGTGATTTTCACAGTGAGAGCACACCAGCGTCCATAGGAAAGCATTGATAATGCTTTCCTATGTGACCGGCTGAATGCGCGCGCAGCTCTTGCCGCGCGTGCGCATTCAGCCGCATGGGAGGAGAAGAGGAGGATCGGAGGAGGAGAGCTCCCCGCCCAGCGCTGGAAAAAGGTAAGTTTTAACCCCTTTCCCCCTTCCAGAGCCGGGCGTTTCCCTCAGGGCACTATAGTGGTCCTTTAAGTCAAACTGTACAAGACAGACCTTTACAGGTTGGACAAATCTACCCAGATCTTTTTTTGTTTATTTTGTTTTTTTGTGATGTAATTGACAAAATAACAAAAGAATAAATTAACATTCTCTGTAAATTTTATTGGTTGATTTTCATAGAATCCCTGCCCCATTGCCAGCTAAACCTGACTAATGGGTTTATCTAAAACATCTGAAATTGAGAATTCTGTCCCAAGAAATTCTGATGTTAAGGTAACTGAGATGCAGACTTTCTGAACTCCTGGACAATGTTAATGAAAAGAATGTGCTTTAAAGATTTCTTATTTTAACCCTTTAGATTTTATCAACCTTGAAATTGAAAGAAGAGGTTATTTTTTATGAGTTATACTCAGGTGTCTTTCATTGACATCTGTCTTAAATCCTCTGAAAATCTGCCACAAGTGACTTTTTTGGCACTCTATGCCATGAAATATACATTTGGCACGCCATGACGCTGCACACAGCTCGCACAACGCCACACGTACTTCAAGCATGACGTATTAACGTTGTACTTTGACATCATAAAATATTCATTGGAAATTAGTGAGTCCCGATTATCGTATGTAAATCTGGAGTTTTTCTTAAAAACGATTAACAGTTCATAAGGCTCCAGTTCTTTTAAAGGCTATATTATTCCCAGTCTATTCCCTCCTCCCCTCTTTTGCCCCTTGTCCCTCAGCCACAACCCCCCTCTTTCTCTCTGCAATTTGGGGTAAATTGTCTCACCAGTGGCTCCTTGAGGTCTTCTTCAGAATCACTCGGGTGCTTTTCACTGGGCTCACTCCCAGACACATCCACCGCCAAGATCTGAGTGTCCTTCACATCTAGATATGGACAGATACTATTATACGGACTGTTTGAGAAATCACTAGAGACCACTAGAGGGCGCCAGAGAAACATGTATGCAATTTGATAGCGATGTCTACGAGACTGGCTAGATAATTATTTATTAAAAAATATTTATTTTTTTAAAGTGCCAACATATTCAACAAGGTTAAAAGCAATTAAAGAATCCACAGAATAAATCACTGTTAGATGAAGAGAGAAATAAAGAAAGATCTAGAAGAGTTCCATTCAACATTTTTCCAAATAAAGTGTTTAGATCATTTAGAGAAGTGCTTTGCTGGACCTGAGCCTGCTAAAACACTGATGTAATCTAATAATTTATATAGAATTGATATGTAACTGTAGGGCCAACATCGATGCGGCCAGTCAGAAAGCAATGCTCAAGAACAAACGGACGATAATGGAAGTAAGAGCTTACGAGTGTCAGAAATACTCTGTGCCAAATTTAGAATATAATCTGACGATGGCAAAGGAAGAGTCTCAATAGGACCACATCAAATATTGAAATAAGAGATGTGTGTATGCAGCCATCCAATGGAGTTGCTAGACAGAAAATGGCTACACAGACTTTTCCACATGGATCTTTTTGAAGACAGTAGGTTAAAGATCCAAAACATCATTGTCTTTCTAATGTTCTACTCATGGACTGACGGCAGGATTAGTACAATGGAGGAACTGATGTAACCAAAGAGACAGAGCCAGAGGTTATCAGAACGTCAGACACAAGCCATACTTACTCTTTCGTGGTCGCCGGCAACACAGCACAGAGATTGTCACAAGTACAAAGAGGAAAAGCGTCCCCGAGCCCAAGGCGATCGCCAAGAGAGTTAGAGGCAAAGCGGCTGTAAAAGATGGACAAGATCTTACTGACAGCTCTGCCATGATAGTGCCACATTGGAATCCATCACAGGCAATGAAAGCGAAATGAATACGTTTATTTCTCTTTAGGGTTAAACAGCTGATATTAAACCAGGATGCCTGTGACCTCCTTTAAATGTAGTTCTAATATTTTATATTAGTGTTCCTTATTTAAAATAAATAAATAAATAATAAGATATATTTTTTAAAATAAACAGTACAACATAATTTATGAAATATTTCTACAAAAGCATGTATTGTTAACTATTTATATTTGGAAAACAAAGACATTTTTAAAACTGATTTTTATAGCCACCAATATCTCATATTTTTCATGTTGCAGCTTTATTGGCAATTAATCACTCACTGTCTGCTTGTCTGCTTTTTTTATATAAAGAAGGGTATAGAACTGTTCTCCTCTCATTAGCATACTTTAAGAATAGGGAATATTTGCATATCAATGTCAATGATTGTGATCGTTGCATAGCTGCTGTTCTATACTGATGTTAAATTAAGGTATTGTAGGGGGGAGAATAAAATATTGCTTACAAAAAGTTTTGGTCCAAAGTATTGAAGGCTGCTAATGTATCGTGTGGTCTGTAGGCCTTGGATGATCAAATTACAAAAAAAAAAATAGCTCTCGAAAGTTCTCGATTTATTTGTAAGCTTGAGACAATCAAAGTAAATTATTGTGAAGGTGTTGATATAATAGGTTAAAAAGAAAATGGTGAGAGCACTCAGATAAAGAGAAGTAATATTACCCAATTTAGGATCAGGTTCTGAAAATAAACACAAATGGAAAAAAACATAACGTTTAAAATGAGAAACTTAAAAATTCTGTACTGGTCTCACTCACACAAGTGGAGCCACTTATAAAGCTGTCTCAAACTGCATGCCTCGAATAAATCACCATTTGGACTTCAGCTGGGTCCTTCCCAAGATTGGATCAAGTGTACCGCCGGAGAACGCAGGTTCAGGGGGTTACAACACTTTTATTAATCCAATAACAGGAAACAAATTAAAATAATACAAAGTAATTAAAGGAACGTCCCATAAATAGAAAGTCCAAAAAGCACGTGTGTTTGAAGCTGGTTAGCAACCTTGAGGTCTTGCCTAAAAACTTGTGTTGATGAAATAGGTGTTTTGTTCATTTTTAATGAACATATTGGGAGTTTGAGAAAATGGACTCACCTTGCTGTCTCAGAGAGATAATGATCGAATCCTCTCCAAATTCATTTAATGCACTGCAGTTAAACTCCGTCTGGAAATCAGACTGTTCTGCTCCATCGATAATCAGGAATGAAGCGGCTTCTTCGTTTGTAACTCTTGTCTCAACGGAAAAACGACCCCATGAACCATCTTCAAGGGTGTTCGTATCCCATGTCCAGATCTGATGGACCATGGATAAGAGGAGTGAGAAGACAGCAAGAAGACCAACATTGAGATAGATACCTTATGGTACTCAGTAGTGAGAGAAGGTGTCACAAAATATCTCTTATGAATAACAGAGGGGGACAATAGTTCAGAATATATGGAACTTACAATTCTGTCTGGCGTGGGCATCGTTTCAACGAGACACTCAAGTCGTGCCTTTCCTCCGAGAGTGCTTTCAAAGTGTGTATCGCTTGTGATCACTGGGGGACCTGAATGGGCAACAGAAGAATTAACACAATTATTCCAATGTTTCAATTTGATCAATGAAAACAGAAACTAATGATAAAAGAAACTGTACAAACTGTCTCACAAGTTCTGAATTATAAAAAACTGTAAAACTGAATGGAAACATGTAGGATAAAAGCTGTGACTAGAACTGGATAGGGGGATTTTTCCAATTCACCTATTTATATTTAAGGAAGACTATAGTAATAGGAATACAAATGCTGTGCTGCCGCCCCGCTTCCTGACATAATCAAAATTGATAATAGCGAGTCAATGGGAGGCTAGTGCGCATGCGTGGCAAAATCAGCATTAAATCAGTGCATCTCTATGGGGAGCGTTCAGCATCTCCACGCGCAGTGTGGAGATGGTGAACATAGGTCTGGTAAACATTGCAGGACTGAAACAAGGAAGCACCTCTACTGGCTGTCTGCATGATGGCTCCAAGAGGTGTTACTAGGAAGCTATTTTCTCTAAAAAGGTATAAAGTGCTTACATTAAAAAGCTTGCAGGGACATACTATAGATATCAGTACCACTGCATTAATCTGCAATAGTTCTGGTGACTCTAGTGTCCCTTTAAATTTCGATGTTGAGTTTTCAATTTCCTACAATTCAGGGTTCAGTGAATAAACCTGATGAACGTCTCATATCAGTCCTTTTACCTTCTAAACATTACTAGTGGCCGCTACATTCATGTGAAATTAACGCAGTAACTGTACACGTTTAGAGGACTAACTGCACAATGTCTGGCATCAGGTTCTGAGATCATCGTAATAGTTACACTGGCACCACTTTCCTCACCTCTTACTGTCAGCGTCACTTCCCGTTCCATGGTCCCGATTCGTGGCACTATTGCTTTACATACATAGGTTCCACCGTCTTCACGAGTGACCTTATTCAATATCAATGTGTTCCCATTACTAAGGACCTGGGTGGGAATGAGAAGAATTTATTGAGAAACACCTAAACCTATTGAAATGCTTGGGTTTAATAGGGCAATCCAGATTGGAGGCTAACCATCCAAAATAAACTAAAAACATCAAAGATACTACTAAAGGTGATGATTTTATTGACTTCTTGAAATGAGTTCTCTACAGGCCAGGATGTGACAAAAATCTCCCAGCCAATCCTTGTTTTCTATGATAAGAGCGTTCTAATTCCTGTCCAACTATGTCTACACATGCACGTTGCTACATTCATGTTTTTTCACAGATAGAGCGAGTTCCTGTTCATAAACAATCTCTCATAGACATCTTACACATCATACTGCTCTTTCATATAGAACAAAACACAAAGAATGAAAGCATCCCGCTTTCTGTATGATCGAGATAATACGAAATTTTCTTTCACTTCTACTCCCGCCTCGCAAGTTCTTATTTTATCAGTTGTATGATAAATGAAGATTGTATGAGTGAAGGGTCTGTAAGGGAAGCGCTTGCCTGAGCAGAATGAAAATTAACCAATATCAAGGCCTGGTTTACAGAAGCAAAATGCTAATATTTAATCTCACTCCAACATCAGAGTTAATAAAAGAATGTCTTCCAGGGTTGAGCACATTTTATAAAGAGTTTCAGACACAGTCAGGGATTTTTACATTGCAGTCGGACTATTATTTAAACCAGAATAAGGTTTATTCATTAAAGCTCTCTGTGGTTCTAAATAAAAGTCATGTCACCCCTGATGATATCATGTCATGTTGGCGTCAGGTGAAACATTTTTAACTAATGTTTATAAACTAGCTCCGTCTCCAATTTACTGCAATCAGAATGTGTATATAAAGAAAGTCATTTTTAAATCTCTACACAAAATGTTATTTTAACTTTACTCAGGGGAGATTTAGTGCAAGACATAAAAAAGACACATCACTCCCGATAACCACGACATCTAAAACCACTTTTTATAAAGAAACAAACTGAGCCGACAAGAAGAATGCATTATATGAACGAGAATGTTTTTAGAAATGTTTAAGTAAAAAAAATTCTCACGGATGACAGGTTCGCTTTAAAACAGATTTTTGATGTAATAAATGTAAGAATGTATAGCGGTCATGTTCAAAATACGGGTAATAGGATCCGGAAATATCAGATCACAGTGATCCTCTTCACAAACGATTCGGAGACCATCACTATTTTCTACATACTGATTTTCTTCTGCTGAACTCACCTCCCCAGATCCTTTCTTGCTCCAAAATTGAGTTGGGGTGGGATTCCCAGTCCAACCACAGAAGAAAGAAGTATCACCACCCAGGTCCACCATCATAGGACGTGGCTCAGTAAGAAGACGTGGCCCAACTAATAGAGTAAAAAAAAAAGGATTCATCACATGGATTGCTCGTCACCTGGATGGAATTAGCCCTGACTGCATTACTTAATTAAAAGAAATGAAAAAGAAAAAAAACAAAAAGTAACTAATCATGCTCGAGTTCCAGTTTACGTTTTCATAAATCTCCATCATTTTATTCAACATATCTGTACAGATGTACTTTTTATACTCTCTAATAAATCCCAAATATCTCCAAAAATTTTTTTTTTTTACTATTCATTGTGAATAGTGAATTTCAAATTGTTTTTTTAGTTTCAAAGCTGTTTATTAGTTGCAGCAATAAGATACCATGTACTGGGCACGCAGGTCCATATAAGATATGAGTTATCAACACATAACTGCGGCATTCAAACAAAATATAACGGACACGCAGGTCCTTGCGAAATTCCAGTGATCAACAATTAAACAATGTTATATTAGTAATCAGAAGCTTAGGGTAACTGTGTACTTCGAGCTGGTTTAGTCAATATGTTGCTAAGATTGCTATCATGAATTGGGATAATGATAGGTCGTGGACTGAGTTCGGCTTATTGGAGGTTTTTCATATCAACTGTCTGAGGCATTGGATTGTGCTTCGTGGGAGGTACAAGGGTGTTTAAAGAGCGTCCATGAGCATGTAATAGGTTATGCTCGGATATGCTGTCTTGTTAGTCGAGTGTGTCCTATTGTGTCCAGCAGGGCTATTAGAGGTTATCTCCTTTTTAGCTAATTAGGTAATAAGTGCATGTCCGATTTCTTCGGGGCGGTTTAGTATTGAGGTCTGTTTGTCCGGGGAGATCATCTTATGTCAGTAGTGCGGCCGTCCCTATACCGTTCCCTAGGTAAGTCGACATCTGTAATGAGTCGGCTATATGGTTATCTTAGCTATCTCTTTATCTCCTGCAAGCCACAGCCCCAGTAAGATGTCGGTCGTTGAGCCCATTTTGAAGGTCAGTAACCGTTTGTATAAATATCTACCCAGTTCATTTTCCCAGATATTGTGGTTGGAGTAGTTGCCCCTAGACAAACTATTGTGTGTAAATATGTAATGAATCTGTTGGTAACCTCAGAATGAGTTGTATTGCATCAGTTATTCAGTCAGTTTATGTATCCTCGTTGGATAATGAAAGATAATAGAGAACTAGGTAAAGTAGAGAAGGGGGATAAAGAGGGATGTGGAGGGAGGGGTGGGTATGGGAGGGTGTGATGGGTTAGGAGGTCCCATTGCCTGCGCCTGTGGTCACCGCGGGTATCGTATCGGGTCTCATTCTCCTTCCAGGAGAGGATGTGATAGTCTTTGGGTCCTCTGGGGTTCCTGTCTGTCCGCGTTTCGATCCGCTATGTAGAGCAGCCATGGGCGCCAACGCTCCGTATGTTTATCCTCAAGACCAAGAAGAGCAGCCTGTGTTGATTCTGCACTATATATCTCTTCCACCCGTTCCATCCATTGTGTTGTTGTTGGAATAGCCGTCTGTTTCCAGTATAATGGGATTAGTGCTTTGGCAGCGTTCAACAGGTGCCTACGTATGCTCTTCCTATACGTCCCTATGGTATCAGGTGTGGCGTGTAGTAGGGCCGTCTCCACGTCAAGTCCATCTTCGATCCCTAGGATGTCCTCTGTTTTCTGTTTTATTTCGTCCCAAAATGGCGTAATGAGGGGGCAGTCCCACCATATGTGTAGTGGTGTACCTCGTGCTTCTCCGCATCTCCAGCATACGTCAGGTACGTTTGGAAAGATCCTGTGTAGGCTATCAGGTGTTCTGTACCAGAATGAGAGGAGTTTGTAGTTCATTTCTTGGTATTGGGAGCTGGATGAGCATTTATGGTGTAATATGAGGATCTTCTCCCATTTGGCCGTGGTGAAGGATGTGCCCAGCATATGTTCCCAGCGTCTGCGGAATTGATCATTGTTGGTGAGGTGTCCCACTAGCATGTGTTGGTATAGAGTGGATATCGTCTTATCCAGGGTGGTCTTGCGGTCACATAGCGTTTCGAACCACGATAGGTCCCTATGTAGGGCTTCCTTGTTCGGGAGTGTGCGATAGTAGGATTTGAGTTGCATATAACGGAGGGTTAGTAGGCTAGTAGGTTGGGTGCCCTCCAGCAGTTCCCTCAAAGGGGTCATGCCTGTGTTGTTTAGTACCCTATGGATGGGGAATGATTCCCCGTCCCCAAGAAATGTCCAAGACGTCGGGGGCAGTCCCCCTCCTATCTGAGGGTTATATTGTATTTGAATCATCGGGCTCGGTGATTGAGATATATGTGGGGTTCTTCGAATGGTTTCCCACGCTTTCAGTGTCTGTGCTACTGTGGAATTTGGTTCGAGTGACACCTGTGGTAATCTCCTCGAATTCCATACCGACGTCAGGAAGGGGGGGCCAATATGGCTTTTATCCAGGTCGATCCATTGTTTATGTTCCGGATGGGTATGCCACTCCAATACCCGTTGTAATACTGTCGCTTGATGGTATTTGCGCATATCGGGTAGCGCTAGACCACCCCAGGCTCGTGGTAAACAGAGAACCTCCTGGCGAAGTCTTGCCTGTTTCCCATTCCAGACGAACTTCACCATCGCGGATCTGAGTGATGTGAAGTATGCTGTCGGCAGAGCTTGTGGGATCGTCTGGTATAGGTATAATATCCGCGGTAGGATATTCATCTTGAGAATTGCAATCCGGCCGAACCACGAGATATGGGGGTACGCCCATTTCTTCAGATCTTGTTGTATTCGTTGCAGCGATGGTAGGAAGTTTGTTCGGTACATATCTCCAAGGTCGCTGGTGAGGGCTATTCCCAGGTATTGCATGTGATTCGAGCACCAGCGGAACGGGAATTGTTTTTTTAGTGCGTCTGCTTGGGTCGTCGGGACTGTGACATTGAGTACCTCGCATTTGCTCATATTCAATTTGAACCCCGAGATCTCGCCATAGGTGTCGAACATATCTATGAGATGGGGCATTGTTGTCTCCGGGTCCGTGATAAAGAATAAAAGGTCATCGGCATATGCCGCCACTTTGTGTGCTACATTACCGCTTTTGTAGCCCGGGATTTCATCCGAGGTGCGTACTGCCTCTAGGAACGGTTCGAGTACTAAAGCGAAGAGCATAGGAGATAGCGGACATCCCTGTCTCGTCCCATTGCGGATCGGGAAGGACTCTGTAAGCGCTCCGTTCACTTTCACTTTTGCATTAGGGCATTGGTACAACGCGCCGATCCACGATAACATATTGTCCCCGAAACCCAGTTCTCGAAGCGTGGCCGTGAGGAACGTCTAGTCCACCCTGTCAAACGCTTTCTCCGCGTCCGTCGATAATAGTAGGAGTTTATCGTTTGACCGTTTTGCTAGGTGATGGATGGATAGCGCCCTAAGAGTGCTGTCCCTTGCTTCCCTCCCAGGGATGAATCCCGTCTGGTCAGGATGGACCAATTTCGGTAGTATTGCACCAATTCTGGTGGATAGAATCTTGGTGAGAAGCTTCACGTCCACATTCAGCAGTGAGATTGGTCTGTAGCTGCTGCATAATTCGGGATCCTTCCCCGGTTTCGGGAGGACTGTTATGGTTGCCGCCAGGGACTCATGATGGAGTTGGGCGCCGCCCACTAGCGCATTGAATGCGTTGGTGAGTTTCGGGAGAAGTATGGCTTGAAATTTTTTATAGTAATCTAGAGTAAAGCCATCAGGTCCCGGTGCGCGGCCCGTTTTGGAGACCTTTATGGCTCCCGCTACCTCTGCTTCGGTGATCGGTGTATCTAGGTTCTCCGACTCCCCATTGGGTAGTCGTGTCCCTACATGGGATTCAATGTAACTTCGTATCTTATCATATCTGACAGCCGTCTCTTCCGGGAGTGTCGGGCCCGGAATGTTATACAGCGAAGTGTAAAACGAGCGGAACTCCGCCGCTATCTTGTCTGGGAACTGTGTTACCGTGCCATCCGAAGTTCGTATCTTATGGACCTGTGTCATACCTTGGGGGCCTCTGATCATCCTGGCCAGTAGTTTCCCTCCCTTGTTGGCATGTTGATAGAAAAAGGCCCGCGAGCGCTGTAAAGAGCTATAGTGTCGGGCCGTTATGTGAGCTTGCAGTGATCTTCGGGCTTCCAGTAATTCCTTATAGGTCTCTTCAAGTAGGGATCGTTTGTGTTGCATTTCAAGGGTAGTTATGCGTATCAAGAGATCCTGCATCTGTCTTTGGGATTCTTTTTTCTTTTTAGAGGCTAAGTGCATTAGGGTGCCCCTGAGTACACATTTGTGGGCTTCCCATACTGTTGTCGCCGGTAGTTCATCCGTTGCGTTTAGTGTGAAGTAAGACGTGAGTTCCTCAGTGACCCGTTCCCTCACCGCTGGGTCTAAGAGTAGAGAGTCTCGGAGCCTCCACGTCCAGGTGGATGGGCGTATCCGAGGAGAGTCCATTTGTAGAGTCACCGGTCCGTGGTCCGACCAGCTTGCAGGTCCAATTTCAACTCTCTGAATTGCGTTAAGTTGCTCTTGTTGGAGGAAGATATAGTCAATTCTCGCATATCGCCTATGTATCCTGGAGTAATGGGTGTACTCCCTGTCCGCTGGGTGCATAGCGCGCCAGCAGTCTACTAGTCGAAGGTTCTTAAGTGACTTCTGTATGCTGCGGAGGGCTCCCTGGGCAACGCTGCTGTGTCCAGTGGATGAGTCCGTTAGGGGGATGAGGGGTACGTTAAGGTCTCCACCTAAGATCAGTGTGCCCTCCGTGAATGAGGAAAGTTTGAGAAGGGTTTTGCGGATATAGTGCGATTGATTATTATTTGGCACATAGATCGTCGCGAATGTGTACCTACGGTCTTGTATATCTCCTTTGAGGAATATATATCTGCCATTAGGGTCGGACATTCGGTCATTTTCTTGGAACTGTAGCTTAGCATGGAGGAGGATCGCCACCCCTGCCTTGCGGGCGGTCGGGTGGTTACTACAGAGCGCGTTGGGGTAGTGTTTGCCTTTCAGCATCGGGGCATTTCCTTCCTTAAAATGCGTTTCCTGGAGGAAGGCAACGGATATGTGTCTAGAGGATAGATCCCGTATGAGCTGTGACCTACGCTCCGGAATATTGAGGCCCCGGCAATTCATGGTCGTAATGCGTAAAGGATCTGGTTCGTAGGCCATTTATGTTGATCGTGAGTGGGTCACTATGGACTTTAGCGGTTTGTTGGTACTTCAAAAAGAAGTCTATTGCCCACGAGTATCCCCTCTCCGTGGTGTGTCCGCAATTGCTGTGACAATGGGAGGGGGGTAGTAAGGGTGGGGGGGAGGCTGAGGGGTTGGGTCAGAGGAGTGGATGAGGTGAGGCAGGAAAGTAAAGTGAGGTAGACGTGGGGTACAGATAAGCCCCTGCCTGCTCGTAGGGACAAGCTGGGGTATGAAAGAGAAGATGAGTTCTCCACCTCCAGAGGGAGGTGATACCAGCACCTACGGATAGGTGTCAAGAGTCCCTCCAAGGAGGGTTGGTTCGCGTGACCACGGCAGCAGTCGGCAGCTGGGCCTGTCAGACAAAGTCTCACGGCTTCCAACTGCCAATTCCCCGTGGAGTGGGTTTGTTCACGCGAACTTGTCGGGGGTTAGTGTTTGTGTCCTTGCGTTTTATACGTGTTAGGATGTGTCTTCTATAGGTTGTATTAGATACAGGAGTCCGAGGTTACCTAACAGGTGTGCCACCTCTTTGAAAGTGTTTGAATGTCGTCTTTGCCCGTCTTAGTATAGCTTGGGTTGCCAGCCGCAATCAATATTATCGCCATATGCAGTCTACAAAGGGCTATGGTGTGGAGGCAGGGATCCATGTCTCGTTCTAGCATGTCTCAAAAGTGTGCCCCCGTCTCCCAGGGTAACGTGGGTCAGTTTTGGGTTGTGGAGCTGTGCGATGTTGGTCGGGGGGGGTCACACAGTGTTGTGTATCCGAGTGGGTGAGTGTTCGGTCGTATTATGGTCCTACACCAGCGATTAGCAATGGCCGAGGCCAGTATCTATGATATATCAAATCCGGGTATGGGGTTGGGAGTGTATGTAAGGTATCGCCTCGTCATATTGCGCGTATCATGAGGCTCTCGAGTGTGGGGTGGGAGAAAGGGCGGGGTTGCTTCCTTATAGCCCAGAAGTGACATCTTTGTAAGAGGGGTAAAGGGCCGTCCAGCTCTAATGCGTGTCATACATTAAGGTATACTTCTTTTCCACATGGAGCATGTGATATATATACAATTGGGTACATTAGCGGAACCCCTCCATCCAACATAACATATATACAATTGGGTACATTTAGTGGAACTCCACCATTCAATATAACATATATACACACTTCGGTACATTAGCGGAACCCCACCATCCGATTAACATGTGTGCCTGCACCTCATCCCATCCTTACATGTCCTTATGTGGTTTTGCCTAAATGTGGGGGAGTGAAGGGTAATAGCTCAGTTGTCTCCCCCGCACCTATATGTTAATGGTACCGGATACTAATATGAGTGTCCCACAGTCCCCCCATTCCCCTCCCCCTAATTCCATGTTCCCCGGTCTAGAGTCCCGGCTCCCTAGACCCTATCAGCTTCGTGTTACCCATTATGTGTGTGTATACGTTTGTATATGTTGCGTCCTTGAGCTTAACTTCCCCCACAGACTCCCTATGTTCTGACCCTCACCCAATTACCGACCCCCCTTGAACCTGTGAGTATGAGTCCTCCATCATATGGAAACAGCGTTGGCTTGAATGTGTGGGGAGCTGGAACAGGCTTCTGCTTTGGCACGGTAAAGGCCCGTTGTCATCTTGGCGGGCCAAGTTGTATCCCTTTAGCCTTGCAACACTCCCCCACGGTGTTTTCCACTTGCCTACCCACCGCTGAAGATAGTCCAGTAGCGGTGTTTCCCTTGCAAGCCTCACGTTGTGGGAAGATGGTGGGGGGTGAGTGAGGCTGCCAATAAGCATGACTAGTCAGGCCCCCCAAGAGTAGTATCCAACTTTTCCCCTCCCCTGTGGACAATGGTATGCTGTGTCTCTCCCGTTCCCCACCCAAATTGCGTAAGTTATATCGGGTGCGTTTATCCCATCCGTCCAGGGAGGAGGGCACTCGGGTTCTGGGTCTGGGCAGTGGGTATGAGTAGCTGTGTATCCATGTCAGCTCGTATATTTAGGTCTCAGGGTCGTAGTCGAGCTGATGTAGGTATCAAGCGGCTATTCTTCTGGGTTGGACGGGTGTGGGGGTATATCAGGTGTTCGGTTCTCTCTGGGGCCTCTCCGCGGATTCCGAGGTTGTCTCTGGGGTCGGGGTTCCCGGTCAAGCGGTTCCAGTATCCAGTCTGGGACTGCTATGGACGGTAGTTCTAACCTTTGGAGAAAGCGCGGTATTTCTTCTGGCCAGCGTGCCGCAATCCACTCGTTATGATGTCTCACCTGGATGCTGAATGGGAAGCCCCACTTGTATGGGATATTGCGTTCCCTTAGTGCTGTAGTGATGGGTCTGAGGGCACGCCTAGCCTCTAATGTGGTAGGGGAAAGGTCATTGTACAAGGAGACCTCTGCCTCTTATATATCGCCATGTGGGTCGGGTCCTGGCCCGCTGCATTATGCGTTCCTTGAGGGGAAATGAGTGTAGGCAGCAGATAATGTCTCGGGGGTCCCCATCCCTGTTCCTGGGTCTCAAGGCCCTATGCGCCCGCTCGAAGCGGATGTCTGGTGGCGCCTGGTTCCCCAGAATCTGGAGGAAGAGTGCGGTCAGTAGTTCCGCAACATTCTCCGTCTCCTCCCCCTCCGGCATCCCCCTTACCCTGATGTTGGAGCGGCGACTGCGATTGTCCAGGTCCTCGACCTGTCTGCGCAGGGCTAGTAGCATATTGCCCTGCCTTGTCAGGGCTGTGTCCGCAGCTGAGGCCTGGCGTTGGGTGACTTGGGCCTGGGTTTCCAGGGCCTGGATGCGGCCGTCCTGTGCCTCCATGTCTGTGCGTAGTGCAGTGACAGCGGACGTGAGGGATGCCGTGAGGGTGGTGGTCAGGGACTGTAGGTCAGATTTAGTGACCATGTTGGCTGCCAGCCTCCTGATTTCTGCCCCAATATCAGCCAGTGTAGGCTGTTCCGGCTCCGAGCAGGAGGAGGCAGGGGAGACGGGCGCCATCTTGGAGCTGTACGCCTCGCGGCTCTGTCCCAGCGGGGTTTGTAAAAAGCCGTCCATCGGTCCCGATGGAGTTGCCGGCGGTGCTGCCCTGGGGGTCTGCTGGCTCTCCGGTTTCCTGGTGCGTCCCATTAGGGTGAGTTAGGGGGCTAAAAAACGGCTAATATTAGCTTGGTGGCGAGGAGCTCGGGACTCACACTTCCATTCAGGTCGGACTTCAGGCCACGCCCCCTCGTGAATTTCAAATTTAAGTAGAATAGCAGAACTGAACAAATAGGTGGACTCGGACAATTCTTCCACTATAACTTAAAATTTGAAATTCCCTACTACTCAAAAATAAAGGAAAAATGCTGCAACGTTTTTATTTACATAATGCTAATTATCATGACTTGGAGACTGATAAAAGAATATTAATATTTCAGGGAAAGAAAATTGTTCCACTTTTAATGTTTCCCCCGTTTTCTTCCCAAAATGCAAATTGTTTTTCAAAATGTAAAATAAAAACTCAAGTGAAATACAATGAAATTACAAATACTTAAATATTTCAAATAGTTAAAAAAAATAAAATGAAATGAAAGTTTGGAATAAATATTTTGGAAGTATAAATATTTATATTGTGAGTAAAGAAACCGCATTTTAAATAATGTTAGGTGAAAAAACATTTATCACAGATACCGTGAGTCTGACTAATTATGCATGCAGAATTTACATATTTTAATTTAATTTTAACCAAACTTTCTGTCTTATTTATAAATAATTACCCATGGTTTTATTCCTTTCTCTTCAATTTATTTGTCCATTTTATAAAAAACACCAGACTCAGTACTTACATAAGACATTTACGGCGGTGCTCACATTACTGCTTCCGACACTGTTTGTGACCTCACATGAGACAGGCGCTGTGAAGAACGTGTGATCGACGGTCACTTGGTAGCTGTCAGATGACACCTGCAAAGGAACACCACCTTTCGCCCATCTACGGAAACACAGATTATACATTAATTACACTCGGTCTCGTGGTTGATAAAACTTTTAATGAAAGAATTATACTAAAAATGGAAGCAAATTATTATGTTGTGAAGAAGCAATATGGGCAATTATTTGCGTTAAAAATTAAAAAATGTATTCCATACAGCCTGTTTACCTCGCAGCAAGAATATAAAATGTTACATGTGAACCGATTACCTATATTTAACAAAATAACATGAATTTATTGAGCCACAGCCTTTACCCTGCAGCTGGGCGACTCTATCTTAGCTCCCTGTCAATCATTGTTATAAGCCCTGCCCTTTACACCTGGCAGTCAGTATAGAGAGAGCCGCCTCCATCTTAGCTCCCTGTCAATCATTGTTATAAGCCCCGCCCTTTACACCTGGCAGTCAGTATAGAGAGAGAAAGGAGTAAAAAACTGAAACAATGTTACTGTCTCATCTTTTAATGCAACGTGTGCCAGGCTGTGCCAGGATTAAGATGTCAATTGATACATCTTTGAAATACATTTCACAGCAAACGGAGCCTCATGAAGAAAATGTTAACAAACGTTATAGGTGATTTTCAATGTTTTACTCAATGGTGTGATCCTCGAAGTGATATGTTACCAGTATTAGTATGATTTACTGAGCGCACACACCTTATCTGAACTCACCTGTAACTTGCAACCTCTGGGTTGGAGACCGCACTGCAAATAAAGGTGACCGTGCCTCCTTCAGAAATGGTTGGCGGTTCAACTGAGAGCGTCACTTTGGGGGGATCTATAAGAAAATACAGGTGTGGTTAGGATAATTTAGTACCTTAATAAAGGGGTTCTGCATGAACCGACATTCTGAGTATAGACACTCACACTGCACACTCAGCGTTACTGCCCGTACTCGCCCCTCCGGCAGCGCAGCATTTTTGACGTGACAAGCATAGCTGGCCCCGCTGTCCTGCAGGCTGGGGGTGATCTGGAGAGTGCTGGCGGCCCCCTCGCTCTTCCCATCTGACAGCAATTGCTACAGGAGAGACAGAAAGAGAGACACTGTGAGTGGCACTCAGAGACAAACAGAGAGACACTGTGCATGGCACTCAAAGACAGACAGAGAGACACTGTGCGTGGCACTCAGAGACAAACATAGAGACACTGTGCATGGCACTCAAAAACAGACAGAGATACACTGTGAGTGGCACTCAGAGACAAACAGAGAGACACTGTGCATGGCACTCAAAGACAGACAGAGAGACACTGAGCCTGGGACTCAAAGACAGACAGAGAGACACTGTGCATGGCACTCAGAGACAAACAGAGAGACACTGTGCATGGCACTCAAAGACAGACAGAGAGACACTGTGCCTGGCACTCAGAGACAAACAGAGAGACACTGTGCCTGGCACTCGAAGACAGACAGAGAGACACTGTGAGAGGCACTCGGAGACAGACAGAGAGACACTTTGCATGGCACTCAGAGACAGAGAAAGAGACATGGCGAGTGGCACTAAGAGACAGACAGACAGATAGAGAGAGACTATGAGTGACACTCAGAGACAGACAGAAAGACACTGTGAGTGGCACTCAGAGACAGACAGATGACAAAGTTATAAAGTTGCAATCTAAATAAAAAAATAAAAAAATAGAACTCTCAGACCATCTAGGAATTCTGAATGTTATTAATAACCAATAGTGAGATTTCAGCCTCTCACCTTGCTGTAAATCGCCCAGTCCAGCTGTTTCCCATCACGGTACCAGGTGATCTCTGCTGCCGGTTTAGCCACGGGGGCCAGACACGTGAGGTTATATGCGACATTCAGCAGGACATTGAGGATAGGGCTGCCTGGGATCATTGGTTCTCCTGGGGGGACTGAGCAAAGGAAAAGGATCTTAGTATAAGGAGACTAAAGAGTGATGACAGATACACTGAGTGTATTATATAGAGGAAGTGAGAGTATGCAGGAGAAGCACTGAGTGTATAATATACAGGAAGTGAGAGTATGCAGGAGAAGCACTGAGTGTATTATATAGAGGAAGTGAGAGTATGCAGGAGAAGCACTGAGTGTATAATAGACAGGAAGTGAGAGGATGCAGGAGAAGCACTGAGTGTATAATAGACAGGAAGTGAGAGGATGCAGGAGAAGCACTGAGTGTATATTAGACAGGAAGTGAGAGGATGCAGGAGAAGCACTGAGTGTATAATAGACAGGAAGTGAGAGGATGCAGGAGAAGCACTGAGTGTATAATAGACAGGAAGTGAGAGGATGCAGGAGAAGCACTGAGTGTATAATAGACAGGAAGTGAGAGGATGCAGGAGAAGCACTGAGTGTATAATAGACAGGAAGTGAGAGGATGCAGGAGAAGCACTGAGTGTATATTAGACAGGAAGTGAGAGGATGCAGGAGAAGCACTGAGTGTATAATAGACAGGAAGTGAGAGGATGCAGGAGAAGCACTGAGTGTATAATAGACAGGAAGTGAGAGGATGCAGGAGAAGCACTGAGTGTATAATAGACAGGAAGTGAGAGGATGCAGGAGAAGCACTGAGTGTATAATAGACAGGAAGTGAGAGGATGCAGGTGAAGCACTAATTGTATAATACACAGGAAGTGAGAACATGCAAGAGAAGCACTAAGTATGTAACATACAGGAAGTGAGAGCATGCAGGAGAAGCATTAAGTGTATAATATACAGGAAGTGGGAAGACCAAGTAGAAGCAGTAACTGTTCTCTGAGTATGAGTCCTCCACACTCAGTACTTACTCAGCACGGTCAGACGGGCACGCTGTGACCTCAGCGCTGCTTGGGTAGCTTGGCATTCATAGATGGCATCATCATTGAGCTCCACCGACTCGATATGCAAATTATGTTCACCCAATGCAGGGTCTCCGATGATAGAATAACGAGACCATCCTGATGTTTGAGAAAAAACCCAAAATGAGTTTCTAGAGCAGTTTAGCTCCTTTCTTTATTTCTATATGCGGCTACTCTGTAGAAGCAGTAACTGTTCTCTGAGTATGAGTCCTCCACACTCAGTACTTACTCAGCACGGTCAGACGGGCACGCTGTGACCTCAGCGCTGCTTGGGTAGCTTGGCATTCATAGATGGCATCATCATTGAGCTCCACCGACTCGATATGCAAATTATGTTCACCCAATGCAGGGTCTCCGATGATAGAATAACGAGACCATCCTATGTTTGAGAAAAAACCCAAAATTTTCTAGGCAGTTTAGCTCCTTTCTTTATTTCTATAACTTGTTAACTAATAGTTGGTCCAGTTTCATTATGAATGATTCCTGACAATTCACACTTTAGTGAATAACTGGGCACTTTTAAACCTGTATGCGCCAACACGAAGGAGGTGCATCGCCATCACATGACGCTCGTACGATGTGGCGCCAAGCTCTAAGCCCACATGCTGCCCACTTTTTCCTGTTTGTATTGTACCTGGCAGATCTCGCTCTGCTCCCAGCGCCAACCCGTCCATCGTCCACTGCACCACTCCTCGATAGCCAACCACTACACAAGGCAGCGTTACCGATTTCCCAGCCACAATCACCTGATCTGAGGGCTGCTGGGAAAAATGGGCTCCATGACCTGCCACAAAAAAAGACACAATTTATCAAAATGGCAAGTGTTGGCAGCGGTTGGCAATTAACAATATGACATCTGGTAGTCCTTGTCTCGCATTGCATTATGGAAAACTAGAGAATGGCTGATTCTTCTCTCCCAGTCGGTAGAGAAAACACTTCATTCAAGTAACTGTAAAGCCAGTAGCAAAGTAGTATTTGGAGAAAAAGCTGACTTCAAAGAAAATGCAGATAATGTATTCTTAATGGGACAGTAAATACCAATTTTACATGTTTTACTAAGTATTCAATCAAGTTACTATTTTATGACTATGGTTTGAAATGAGGGCTCCTTCTTAAAATAATGTGCTAGCGTGGCTTTCGTGATGTGGTAAAGGACTGCAGCCATTAAAGCCACAGAATTGGGCTGTGTTCGTGTATCGCACTGACCCACTAGTCCTGCCACAGGGCCAGTCGTGGGACCCATGCCATCTGATACAATAAGTTTCCAAGCAGTGTTCTATGTGAGTCCCTGGGCACGTGAGCAAATCAATTCTGCCCTTACCACAGAAACAACAGATTGCTTTCTATTTTAATTTAAATTCTTTATTTTGATACAAGTGCCAACGGTAAGCAGTTCGCAATATACTTCTTATACCTAAATTCAATATGTATCGCCGGCTTGCGTTTTTACAGCCTTCAAAGACCACTGACCTCCAAATATGAATGAACAGCTCATTAATTATAAGGGAAGACGTAAGAGGGCGAGAGAGGTATAAGGAAGAGGAGGGAAAGAGGGCCCACAATGCCAGTGTAACAGAATTCTGCCCACCCACAGACGCCCACATGTCCCAGAGCCTGCCCACAATGCCAATGTTACAGCCAGTGTAACAGAATTCTACCCACAACGCCAATGTCCCAGAGCCTGCCCACAATGCCAGTGTTACAGAATGTCTACCCACAACGCCAATGTCCCAGAGCCTGCCCACAATGCCAATGTCCCAGAGCCTGCCCACAATGCCAATGTCCCAGAGCCTGCCCACAATGCCAGTGTTACAGAATTCTGCCCACAATGCCAATGTCCCAGAGCCTGCCCACAATGCCAGTGTTACAGAATTGTACCCACAATGCCAATGTCCCAGAGCCTGCCCACAATGCCAGTGTTACAGAATTCTACCCACAACGCCAATGTCCCAGAGCCTGCCCACAATGCCAGTGTTACAGAATTCTACCCATAACGCCAATGTCCCAGAGCCTGCCCACAATGCCAATGTCCCAGAGCCTGCCCACAATGCCAGTGTTACAGAATTCTACCCACAATGCCAATGTCCCAGAGCCTGCCCACAATGCCAGTGTTACAGAATTCTACCCACAACGCCAATGTCCCAGAGCCTGCCCACAATGCCAATGTTACAGAATTCTACCCACAACGCCAATGTCCCAGAGCCTGCCCACAATGCCAGTGTTACAGAATTCTACCCACAACGCCAATGTCCCAGAGCCTGCCCACAATGCCAATGTCCCAGAGCCTGCCCACAATGCCAATGTCCCAGAGCCTGCCCACAATGCCAGTGTTACAGAATTCTGCCCACAATGCCAATGTCCCAGAGCCTGCCCACAATGCCAGTGTTACAGAATTCTACCCACAACGCCAATGTCCCAGAGCCTGCCCACAATGCCAGTGTTACAGAATTCTACCCACAACGCCAATGTCCCAGAGCCTGCCCACAATGCCAGTGTAACAGAATTGTACCCACAATGCCCAGACTGTATTGGAAATATCTGTTGAATTCCTGACCGGTGCTTTATTATCTTTTATTTTATCTATTCCAATCTCTGTTGCCGATGCTGGGCTCTAACAGAGTGCCGAGATAGATTATCTGAAAGCAGATACAAATTGTCACCCTGATCTATTACAAGACAGCCACACGGGGGCCACCTCTCGTCATTCTCTGTCCCCTTGTGCCCACAGGAAACCTCTACAACCCTGGCCCTAAAATGCCACAAAAACCAAGCATCCCACATTTACATTCTGCCCAATAATGTTTCAATTTGCTGCTTTTTAATGCCACAGTTCAATCCGTCACAACGCCATGCTGGAGTTAATCCTTTAAGAAAAAGGAAAAAAAAAACCTTCTTTTCTCCTGGTTCTTTACCTTTAATCCCCCCAGGTTTTTCTGCCTTGCTAATTCATAGTCAGAACCTGTCGCTTAAGAGGATTTTACATTAATAACTGGAGAATACATGTGAATATTAATATTTTTTCGAACTGTTCAGTAGTTTTTGATATATTTTTTATGTGATATCTGCACTTCTATCGCTTGTGCTGAGAAGATCATCTCCCGTGATGGGGGCCAGGAGAGCTAGGGGGCTCAATCACTGCCTCTCTGTGCCTTCAGATGAATAAAGAACTGGCAGAACATTTGGTCATTTTGGTCCTATGGCAGTTGGAGTTGTTCCTCTGGGCCTTACTTATTACTGCTCTATCATATTGCAACAGGATGTGTGTGCGTGTATGCATGTGTGCGTGCAAGCCTGAGCAGTGTGTGTGTGTGCGTGTGTGCATGCGTGGGTTCGTGCATGTGTGCGTGCGAGCCAGAGAAGTGTGTGTGTGTGCGTGCGAGCCAGAGCAGTGTGTGTGCATGTGTGTGCATGTGAGCCAGAGCAGTGTGAGTGCGAGCCAGAGCAGTGTGTGTGTACGTGCGTGCGTGCGAGCCAGAGCAGTGTGTGTGTGTGTGTGTGTGTGTGTGCGTGCGAGCCAGAGCAGTGTGTGTGTGTGTGTGCGTGCGTGCGTGTGAGCCAGAGCAGTGTGCTCAGGTATGACAGTAAAGTATTTTTAACCCTTACAGAGTTATTTACTAAAGTGAGAATTCACAGTGAATTTCAAATAAAGGTCAAATTAGCCAGACTGGAAAAATCTTCTAAATCAGCTTTGATTTCAGTTTGGCTAATCTGCCCTTAAATTTGAAATTCACTTTGAATTCTCACCTTAGTGAATGACTCAGCTAATGACGTCTTATTAACATCGTAGCATCAGAAATTAGCAGCAGTCGGGATAGCACAGATCCTTATAGCAGTCCTGGATAGCAGATTTATTATGCTGCGCTACACAACCTGTTGGCTCTTTAGAATCAAAGCAGATTAGTAAAGTTGAGATACCTCCTATGAGGTCATCATGGGAATTACATGGTTGTAGACGTATATGCGAAGGGTCATTAAACCTGTATGTCTCCACATGATTAATGTTCCCCCCAAAAATAGGCTCACTCATCCATCTTTAGAAAGAATCTCTCTTTGTGCCATTTTTGTCTCTTTTTGTGCAAGCCTCTCCCTTTGTGTTCCTGGTCGTCTCTTAAGCCTTTTTCCTGTCCCCTGAGTGGCTCTAACAGATTTTTAAAAGCTGTTTTCCAGAGTTAATCTACTTCCCCCCTTTCATGCCTTCTCTCCCTTTGTTTAAACTGACGGCGTGAAGTCCAGGGGGCTGAATGAACTGAGGGGAGATGTGGCCTGGCTTCTAGTCTCTCACTTTGAAAAGACAGAGAAAAAAAACCGCAGGGGTGACAAAATGGGGATTTAACCCAAACTCTGCTGGAAACACTAACTGCTTATCTTTGGGGGGCTGAATTTAAACGTCACCCCACTGGGTTTTAGCTTTGTTCAATAAACTAAACGTTAAGGCCAAAACAGCCAAGCTGTAAAAACATCAGATAAAATAGAGACTTTTTATAATCAATTTCCCCTATTTTTTTAAAAGTTGGTTATCAGCTGGTTATAACATTTGAGTTTATTTGCAAAATGAAAAGTGAATCATTATTATTGTTATTATTATTATTTAGGCTAAAATAAAAAAGTTGTCACTATAGTTGATCTTTTTTCTTCAAATCATCACTTTTTGTCCACAATTTGCAATTTAGTTTCCATTTGATACAGTTCTGCTTTTAGCAGGTAAAACTCTCTGTTTAGTGAGTAAATTCCAGTCATTGAGTCGTTCGCCATATTCTGTTATTTTTTGTAAACTCTGGTGTCTATACTGCACTCTGTCACTGCTGAGGCCTTATCGATGATCCCGCATGTTTCAGTGCCTCTACAGTGAAACCAGTTCATAAAAGGACTGAGCTGAGTGCAAGCTCTTCAGCACAGGATGAGATTGCCATTGTCCCCCCCCCCCCCTGTGCGGGGTGTATTGTGGAGTGTTAAGTGGAAGTTAATGCACCATATGGTGTAGTTAAGAGAGCATTTGTCTTGTGTGCTGGTTGTGTGTATTGTGATATGTTTATTGGAGCGTGAGGGCTTCTATTCAGTGATGTACTGCAGGGGTCAGGGGGCTCTGTGTTATACAGAGACAGAGGGATGGAGGGGGAACTGGCAAACTGAAAAAAATGCCCACTGTGCGGGTGGAATTATTGAGAGTGCCAGCGACCTGTGTGTCTGTGTCACTCAATTAACCAGTAAAATGCCATTTAATGCGGCACACCCCTAATAATAGCCCAGGAAACTCCCAGAGGAGAAAGAGGCAGACAGGTTTATTGCGGGAAAGGTTCAAAGAATGAAAAATTTTACTCAAAAATAGCTGACTTGGATAATGTCTCCAATCTGGCTATTTGGTGTAAAATTTCAATTTAATTCACACTTCGTGTCTAACCCTGTGTGTGACTGTTAGCACATAAGGGTTTACTCAGTAAGCAACGATTAGCAGCAGACTTGCATTTGTAAAATTGACACCAAAACAGACACATTTTACATTCCAGCCTTCACCGCAAATTTTCCAAACCAGTTTTCTTGGGCACAGTGTGTTTGAAAAATATCTATTGATTGATAAAATACACGTTGGGTGTTCTGTATAGTGAGCGATTCGAAATAAAAGTTGTACAAGTGGAGCAGTCAACGTGGGAAGCCAACATGCAAGCGTGTCCGTCGTACCCCAGAAACACGCTAATACAGGGCTACGTCTGGTTTGAATTAACGTTTCGTTTTACCAGATTTTAGGATATATGACTTCCCACATTTGCTACTTTTTACCTGAACAATAAAAGATTAATAAATGCAATGTGCGAATTTCACCACGATGGCGTAGTACATTAAACCGGCTCACAGCGTGTTATTTTATCAGCTGACATATCTGTTATTTCCGCCAACAAGAGAAAACAAGAGAAACCTCAATGTATCCTTCCTGGTAAAATATTTAATAAATACATTCTTGTAGGTGCAGGGTTTGAAGCTTTCCTATTCACGCCTTAGACTGCAGGTGTTTTATTGCATGCTGTACAGTACTCGATGGATGGACTGCCACAATCGTGAGATCCGCCCCTCTAAACCCCAGAAGTATAGGAGCTGATTAGTGACCCATCAGGGACTCATGGGTTTTGAAGGATTTAGAGAATGGTGTAATAATGCATTGAAATTCTCCTCTACGGTTTATATCCCAAGAGGATAACTCTTGGAGTGGCAGGAGGTGAGCATTAAATAAAATAAACGTATGGCGCACGTCTGTTCCTGAAAGGTTTAAGAAGTTAGGAATATGGAGAGGCCTTTACAATAAGACGTTGTTTGAAGCCTCAGCGGTACGGTGGCTGTGTCTCTCTGCCCCTCCCGCTCTCCTCCTTATCTCTCCATTCCGAGCTGTGATCCTGTCAGGGGATTAGCACTTGGCTCAATATAGATTTAAGTGGTTATACAGGAAGAAATGGGAATGAGGGGAGTCTGGCATTGTGCTGCTGTAAATCAATGGGATTTCAGTGAATAAAATAGAATATTCTCTTCATTCCTCCGAACACGAAAATCCCTTATCAAAAGGCAGAAAACACGGGGAAAGTGGCATCGGGGGCCCTGACACAGAGCGGGTGCCAAAAGCCACCGGAATAACCAACTTTCCTAAAGGGATGTGCAAAAATCACCCACATAACACATTCTCCTGTCTCGAAACCATGCTCCATTTAAACTCTTCACACGTTTTCTAATTACAGTCAGATTCTTTTTCTGTAGCGCGTTGCTATGTGAAAGTCGTATCGTATTAATATCTTGAATTACCCGCAGTAGGAGGACTATTGTGGAATCTCGTAGATTGCGCATATCTTGCAGGAAGGAGTTAATTATTTGGCTATTGTCACAATGTGCTGGCATTTCCCATAAGCCTCTCTGGTTAATATTGATAATGATACTATTTAAGAGGGACGACCAGAATTTATATCGGGGCCTGTATCTAGATCAATGGTACCCTCACAGTATCACTGGTCTTGTTAAGGAAGCAATGTGATGACCCCAATTTGTGAATACCCCAGGGGAACTTTCTGGCCCCATTCCATATTCAGGTGATCTGCAGAGGGTTGTTGTATAATATTATGATTTATATATAGCAGGGTTATCCAACCTGCTCTGCTTCTGGGAACTATATCTCCCATAAACCCTCAGGCTAGCAGAGGATCATGGGATAATTAATCCACAACATCTGGAATGATGGATTATACAATGTGTCACATGGAGTTAGATGATATGACAGTGTTGGTGTCCTATTATAGCAGATAAGGGATATAGCCCGGTCTATGGTACCAAATACAGAGACATCAGTGGGCGTTGGCCCTAATACAGAGAGAACCATGGGTCTCGCTCCTAAAACAGAAGGAACCATGGGGATTTCCCCTAATACGGAGAAAGCCATGGGTCTTGCCTCTAATACAGAGGGAGCCCTGATTGCTCCCAGTATGGAGGTGGTAGGTACAGTCTATGTACAGTAGGTGATCTCACTGGGTGGTTGTATATAGTGCGTAGAGCTGGCATCCCTGGCTGTGTTTTATTGTAACGCCGGATGGAGATATTTCAAAAAATCATTTGATATTTTTATTTCCCAGTATCTTCTAAATCAGCGTGACACAGCCTGCAGCTTCCAAACTATTGTATTCCAGTTCCATCCATGCAGGGGCCAGTGGATGGACAGCTAGCATTGAATCCTCACAGTAATTCGAACACATCCAAGAGGCCCGGCTGTCTGGATAACTGCGAGATATGATACAAATTCTGTTTCTAATCGCGGTGTTTAATGGGTAAACACGGTAATGCTTTGGATGTCACATCCGCCTTTCTCAAGCCTCAAATTTCTAATGTTTGGCTATTATACACAGCTAGCTGTGATATGGCGTGCTGGTCCTTTTTAATATATGTTATAGGAATAGTATGTTATATGCATTGCTTGGAGAGAGGTCCACATTGGCGAATCTCAATGGTTGGACATAAAGACCAGCATGTGTCAATCACAGTCTAAGTGGCCATTTCATTCCCAGGACATACACAGTCTCATGTGAAAGTTCTTGGGAAACACATCTGCCACTCAATATTTCACTTAATATCTGGTAACTGATACCATTTACTAAGTAAAAGCCAGCGAGTGAGGATCAACCATGACGGGGAGCCAGCGCCTGATTTAGCCAGTCTACCCATCATCATCAACGAATCCGAGCCAACAGGCTCCATCACAGAGGTAGTGTCTCACCGCCACCGCACACAATCAGGGGCATTGTTGGTGCCACCTAATTCCCGTGAGACCAAAGTATTTCATGAGCTGATAAGCAGGGGGCCTGCTCTCTGTCTCACATACCTGCTGTTTGTCTGCTGATATGGTGCTATCTCCAGCCCCCTCCCTGCCTGCAATATGAAAGCCATTCTGCCCCTTCACATGAAAGAGCCACTTCAGAGGCCTGAGCCACTCTTATCTCTCTCGCTGCCCAAGCCCAGATGACAGACAGACATTTTTTGCAATGTGACCTCCTAACCTCAAATATCTATCCCTTTACATGGGGCACCAGTAAGATTTGGTGGCATTTGAGGAACTGGTGATAAGAAAATATTTAGCCAGATTTAGAGGAAGGGATGGAATGGAGCTGAAATGGAACAACAACTCCTATCATCCTGGCTGGCTGAGGCTCGTGGACGTTTAAATCCAACGTGAGCAGGAGATTAAGAGATGGGCCCTAAGCATGACCCCATCCCCAAACCGTAATTAAAAAAGCTTAGAAACCAATTAAAATGCTGAAATACAATAACCTTGTTCTCAGTGATTTATGGTTCTAATATGTATCAGTAAGCGAATGGTATGTTGTGTAATATTATATTGCTTTATACAGAGCAGTACAATAATACTGTGTATAGGATGACCTGATACATACACATGGCTCTGTGTGTGTATTATTCATCGATAGAGATATAGAATGCTGCACACAGGTGCTTTATGTCTGGGAGGTTTTACGTATATGCCAGGTGTATGGACCTTTACAATATTTATTAATATTTATTCACACAGACCCCCTGGCCACAAACAGCTCCCCGTTCAGCGAGAGAGACCCTTTTCATGCTCTGCAGATACATTATATCCTTTGTACATATAGAATAGGGTAAACAGATGTCCCATAGTGATGGTTTGGAATTAATAATCTACGGGGCTGAAATAAAAGATACACTCCTATGCAGTGTGTGTTTTCCGCATACGGAAATCTCTACACAGCACAGAGCTGAGTACACTGACATTCTAACCACGAGAGCGCACAGAGCTGAGTACACTGACATTCTAACCACGAGAGCAAACAGAGCTGAGTACACTGACATTCTAACCACGAGAGCGCACAGAGCTGAGTACACTGACATTCTAACCACGAGAGCACACAGAGCTGAGTACACTGACATTCTAACCACGAGAGCACACAGATCTGAGTACACTGACATTCTAACCACGAGAGCAGACAGATCTGAGTACACTGACATTCTAACCACGAGAGCACACAGATCTGAGTACACTGACATTCTAACCATGAGAGCAAACAGAGCTGAGTACACTGACATTCTAACCACGAGAGCGCACAGAGCTGAGTACACTGACATTCTAACCACGAGAGCACACAGAGCTGAGTACACTGACATTCTAACCACGAGAGCACACAGATCTGAGTACACTGACATTCTAACCACGAGAGCACACAGAGCTGAGTACACTGACATTCTAACCACGAGAGCACACAGAGCTAAGTACACTGACATTCTAACCATGAGAGCACACAGATCTGAGTACACTGACATTCTAACCACGAGAGCAGACAGATCTGAGTACACTGACATTCTAACCACGAGAGCACACAGATCTGAGTACACTGACATTCTAACCACGAGAGCACACAGATCTGAGTACACTGACATTCTAACCATGAGAGCGCACAGAGCTGAGTACACTGACATTCTAACCATGAGAGCACACAGAGCTGAGTACACTGACATTCCAGCCATGAGAGCAGACATAGCTGAGTACATTGAGAATCCAGCCATGAGAGGGCACAGAGCTAAGTACACTGACATTCTAGCCATGGTGGCGCACAGAGCTGAGTACACTGACATTTTAACCACGAGAGCGCACAGAGCTGAGTACACTGACATTCTAACCACGAGAGCGCACAGATCTGAGTACACTGACATTCTAACCATGAGAGCACACAGAGCTGAGTACACTGACATTCCAGCCATGAGAGCACACATAGCTGAGTACACTGAGATTCCAGCCATGAGAGGGCACAGAGCTAAGTATACTGACATTCTAGCCATGGGAGCGCACAGAGCTGAGTACACTGACATTCTAACCACGAGAGGGCACAGAGCTTAGTACACTGACATTCTAACCATGAGAGCGCACAGAGCTGAGTACACTGACATTCTAACCACGAGAGCACACAGAGCTGAGTACACTGACATTCTAGCCACGAGAGCACACAGAGCTGAGTACACTGACATTCCAGCCATGAGAGGGCACAGAGCTGGGTACACTGACATTCCAGCCATGAAAGCACACAGAGCTGAGTACACTGACATTCTAGCCATGAGAGCACACAGAGCTGAGTACACTGACATTCCAGCCATGAGAGGGCACAGAGCTGAGTACACTGACATTCCAGCCATGAAAGCGCACAGAGCTGAGTACACTGACATTCCAGCCATGGGTGCACACAGAGCTGCATTATAAATTAATTTACATCATTATATTCTCGGACAGACTCATTTCTCAAACTAATCACTAGAGGGGCCCAGAGTCTCTGTGCATCCTGCTGTATGGGGGAGGACTGAGCTTATACACAGCACTGTGCATATTGCTCACTCTGCTGGGTACACACAGAGAGGTCACACAGAACAGCCTGCATATGACATGCAGTGCTGGCTACACACAGAGCATTATTATATATTACATGCAGTGCTGGATACATAGAGAGCATTGTTACATATTACATGCAGTGCTGGGTACATAGAGAGCATTGTTACATATTACATGCAGTTCTGGGTACACACAGAGCATTATTATATATTACATACAGTGCTAGGTACACACACTACACACAGAGCATTATTACATATTACATGCAGTGCTAGGTACACACAGAGCATTATTATATATTACATGCAGTGCTGGGTACACACAGAGCATTATTATATATTACATGCAGTGCTAGGTACACACAGAGCATTATTATATATTACATGCAGTGCTGGGTACACACAGAGCATTATTATATATTAGATGCAGTGCTGGGTACACACAGAGCATTATTACATATTACATGCAGTGCTGGGTACACACAGAGCATTATTATATATTACATGCAGTGCTGGGTACACACAGAGCATTATTACATATTACATGCAGTGCTGGGTACACACAGAACATTATTATATATTACATGCAGTGCTGGGTACACACAGAGCATTATTATATATTACATGCAGTGCTGGGTACACACATAGCATTATTATATATTACATGCAGTGCTGGGTACACATAGAGCATTATTACATATTACATGCAGTGCTGGGTACACACAGAGCATTATTATATATTACATGCAGTGCTGGGTACACACAGAGCATTATTATATATTACATGCAGTGCTGGGTACACACATAGCATTATTATATATTACATGCAGTGCTGGGTACACATAGAGCATTATTACATATTACATGCAGTGCTGGGTACACACAGAGCATTATTATATATTACATGCAGTGCTGGGTACACACAGAGCATTATTACATATTACATACAGTGCTGGGTACACAAAGAGCATTATTACATATTACATACAGTGCTGGGTACACAAAGAGCATTATTACATATTACATACAGTGCTGGGTACACGGAGTCTTTTTATTAAGATGAAGGTATACTTTATTTAAAGACACACACAGGACAATAAGTGTAATAAGTAACCTGCACATGTTTGCTGTGTTGGAGGAGGTACACCTGTGACTATGGCACTGGTCCCCATATAATTAGCACAATGAATGACATGATGCTCTGGTTAAGGTACAAGTAATGGAAATTGTGATTCCCGCAGGATGCTGGCTGCATAGGGCTTAATTACTGCAGTAAAACTTGGCAGGTGAGCAGCACAATCTCACTAATAGTGGAATATCTCTGCTACCCCTGGGAGAGACCCCCTGTCCCACCACCACCAGAAAGACTCCCTTTCCCCCCACCATTGGGAGAGACCCCCCCACCCCTGGGAGAGACCCCCTGTCCCACCACCACCACTGGGAAAGACCCCCTGTCTCCCCACCATTGGGAGAGACCCCCCCACCCCTGGGAGAGACACCCTGTCCCCCCACCACTGGGAAAGACCCCCTTTCCCGCCCACCACTGAGAGAGACCACCTGTCCCCCATCACTGGGAGAGACCCCCTGTCCCCCACCATTGGCAGAGACCCCCCCACCTCTGGGAGAGAATCCCTTTCCCCCCACCATTGCGAAAGACCCCCTGTCCCCCACCAGTGGGAGAGACACCATGCCCCCACCACTGAGAGACTCCCTATCCCCCATCACTGGGAGAGACCCCCTGTCCTCCCCACCACTGAGAGAGACCACCTGTCCCCATCACTAGGAGAGACTCCCTGTCCTCCCCACCACTGGGAGAGACCCCTTGTCCCATCACTAGGAGGGACACCCTGTACCCCATCACTGGGAGAGACCCCCTGTCTCCCATCACTGGGAGAGACCTCCTGTCCCCCATCACTGGGAGAGACTCCCTGTCCCCCATCACTGGGAGAGACCCCTGAGGAGACCCCACCCCCACTGGTAGACACTTCCTGTCCCCACCATGGGAGAGACCCTGTCCTCATCCTGGGAGGCACCCTGTCCCCCACAACTGGAAGAGACTTCCTGCCCCCACCACTGGTAGAGACTTCTTGTTCCCCACCACTGGAGAGACCCCTGTCCCCCATTACTGGGAGGGACTCCTGTCCCTCACCACTGAGAGACTCCCTGTCCCCGCACCACTGGGAGAGACTCCCTGTCCCCCCACCACTGGGAGAGACTTCTTGTTCCCCCACCACTGGGAGAGACCCCCTGTCCCCCATTACTAGGAGGGACTCCCTGTCCCCCCACCACTGGGAGAGACTCCATGTCCCCCCCCATCACTGGGAGAGACTCTCTGTTCCCCAACCCCTAGGAGAGACACTATGCCCCTACCACTGCCCCCCATCCCTGGTGGAGACCCTCTGCCCCCACCACTGGGAGAGACCCCCTGCCCCCACCCATGGGAGAGTCCCCCTGTCACCCACCACTGATACTGGGCCTGGGGTATGACTGGGACCAGCTGTCTTATATTAAATTTATCTTTCTCAATATTATAAATCTGTAGTTGGTTCCCCTAAATACTGCATGTGGCCTTGGAGGACCCCAGAGATTCTCAGTGCCCCCAAGATTTCATGGGGTACATATGATTGGGGATTTTACATTACTTTGTACAAAATTGTATCATTCAGTGACCAGCACAGAGCAAAAAAAACAAAAAACCTGCATGGCTAACGCATAGTCCAGCTAATTATATAGCAATAAATAAACCTTGCCATCTGTACTTTGTAAGAGCCTTTTGTACTGCGCTTACATGTAGGTTGGTGCTTTATAAAGAACATAGTAATTAAAATGTACTTTAGATGTCCTCTTGACTATATTAGTTACCCTTCTATCCTGCCATCCATTCATCCCTCCATCTCTCAATCAATTCATCCCTACATTCCTCCATCCATCCCTCCGTCCATCCATCACTTCCATCCCTCTATCCCTCTATCCATCCATTCCTCCATCCCTCCCTGTATGCACAGTTTCACATAAACTTACTTTTCCGCAGCATGGCTGTGAGGAAGACACAAACTATCAGAAAATGTATCTCCATCCTGTGTCTCCAGGTGTTAAAGAGGTGAAAGTCCTGAGAGCAGGTGCAGGTACCCAGTGTGCCAGGTGTGTGCCAGGAGTGGGTGCAGGTTCCCGCTGTCACTCTGTGCTGCAGACTGTCCTGTTCACTCACTGCCTACTCTCTGCTTGACTGCTCCAGCTAAATTCTCCACCTCTGCATCCTCTCCTCACTTGCCAGCCTGCTGTACTCCCTCTCTCTGCAGTGGATTTAATGAGGCTCTGTGTGCCCTCCTCTCCTCTCCAGCCATTGGAGAGAAAGTTGTTCCTGTTAAACAATAAAAGTCCTTTGCAGTCTCTCCTCCTACTCGCTCCCTGTCCTCCTCTTTCTTCCCTCCCATTCTATCTGTTTCACAGACTGAGAATCAATGAGAACAATGATGGGGCAGGAGGCTTGCAATCTATTTACTGCAATGAGATTAAAATATTTCCTGAGTGTCACAGCTGGAGCCCACTAAACACATCCTATTCAATTAAACAGCCTAATGGAATGTTATTCCAGGGAACGCTAGTCATTACAGTCTGCGCTCTGTGGGCTAACTGCACTGAAATAATCTGATTTCAATATGTGCTCTGACAATACTGTGAAAAACAAACGATCAATACATTGATTAGTATTACACACATCACAGCGAGCTGAACTAAGACACATTCAATGTCACATTGTGTTCCAAGAGCTTGCACTCTATTAGTTGTTATTGAGGTCTGAATGTGGTGGGATGATAATTTGTGGGTATAGGTGCCCTTGGTGGGGTCTGTGCTGAGTTCCGCTATCAGCGGGCTTGGGGACAATATTTTTGTAACCGAGACTCGTCATTCCCCAAAGTCAACATTAGACTTCTGCACATCAAACAAAAATCGTTTCATCCAAATTTTTTATTGTTTTTGGTATCGGGCACATCTGAATTTGGAAATTTGGCTGACTTGTTGAGTCCCAAAATTCAGACAAATCGCAATTCGTTTGAAACTGAATGCACAAATCTTGTCAACATATCCCACCGCTAAGTGCTCACCTGGGGGCCCTGTGGTTAACCCCTTAAGGACACATGACATGTGTGACATGTCATGATTCCCTTTTATTCCAGAAGTTTGGTCCTTAAGGGGTTAAAATGCCCGCTTTAGAGAATGGGCCTACTCATTGCTTATTCGACCTGTGTGGGCCCTTTGGGCTGACGGCACAATGAAATGAGAATTATTGGGCAGCGTCACTGGACTCCTTAAACCAAAGCACCGGCACACATGTAAATGGAGGTCCAGAAACTGGCATTGTGATCCTCTGATCGATCAATAACTGCATAGCTTATTGTAATCAATGTAGACCACACAAAGGATTAATCAACTGACTTTTTAATCTGTGTCTCGCATAAAAAATAGGCCCAATCCAGGGCTGCATATTATTGGTGTTATTAAGGGCTTTTTCAGTAGTATTAATGTTTAGTGGGTATTTTAATTACCGCACAGTGCACATTGGTCATAGCCTATTGATCAGACTTGCTCAGAGCACTTTGTTAATGAGCGTTCTTCACCTAGTCAGCAGCCTATAACTAAGTGTCCCCTGCATCGTGCTTGACAGCCATGCATTGAATTTGCCTATAGTTCGGTGCTGTTTCGGTACAGCTGTTTGGCCTATCTTTCCCCCTTTTTCCAGTTTTCAGTAATTAAGAGTGTTTCATTTCAGGTCGTCTATGTATAAGCACATGATACCTTCATTAAAATTCTCCAAATTGTACTTTTTTTGTATATTAGCTTCTATTATTAAAACTGTGATCTGCCATCTCTACTCAATCAGTGATAGATTCGCAATACTTACCTTTGCTATGGCTTGAACTGGCCACCTTGGTAGCAAAATGGGGTGAATATACCCTTAAAGAGTGACACTTCATTGTACAGCTCAGTGAAGTGGTTATGGTGCTATAAGTCAGTGGGCGCTGTTCCTCGTTCTTTATATCAGACCGGGGTGATTTGATAAAAGCCAGGGCACTCCATGCCTCCTATACTTCCACAATTTGAAGTGCGATTCCTGTCTAGCTGATGGCAATGATTGGCTGAGAGCACTGGGAGTCGGTTATCTGAATATAAATTAGCCCAGCATTCTCAGGCTAACACTGCTATCCAAGGTAGGATGGAATCGCACTTAAAAAGTGTAGTTTTGGTGCATCAACATGACCTGACAAATAAAGAATGGCGTCCACAGATTCCTAGTACCATGACTACTAGAAGACCTGTGCAGTGAGTGTCAGTGCTTGTGGTGCTTAGAGAAGTCATTTAAAGCAAGGCCTCTGTGCCACGGATGTTTTGTAGCATATCTCCACAGGTTACCAGGAGTTATAGCGTAGTCTGGTGCCTTGGCTTCCAACAAGTCGCACAGCGCACTAGATCTAACAATAACCTGACTAATAAGATACTATGATGCAAAACCTTAGGGATCATCTGTAAATGTAACTCCGCTGATTTATTTTTCCATTCGCTGATTCCCTCTGGGGTCCAAGGTTGCACAGGGAGAAATAACTGAATGAAGCTCCAGGAAGTGATGTGCTCTCATTCTTTAAACTTTCTCCTGTCCTTAGCTGCACAAATACAAGTCCGTAAGGTGTCAGCAACCCATTTGAGCTCAGTAACTGGGGCCTTGGGACCTATGCTGACGTCGTAGTCTCATAGTAATGTGATGGTAAGCTCTTTGGCACAATTTTAGGCGTAGAGCCAGCATCGTACACTAAATCCAATATTCTCTTTAACACTCTGTACAAATAAAATGCATTCAAAAAGCAGTAAAAGGATTACACAAAATGAAACAATTAAGGTGCGTTTTTGGAGATAAGTGATCTTTTTGTAAATTAGGTTTCAAATGAAAGGATCCATAAACCTGGCTGTGACAGCATGGCGCTAATGAAGAGGATAGGATTCTCAGCTACGTGCGCTGTGAGTGCTGGGAGTAGTAGTTATTGTATAAAACGTGTATAAAGTGTTAAATTTTGCTTTAAACTTGTATCAAAGAACAGCTTGAGGGAAGATTGTGCCAGACTTTCTAATTACATTTATTTAAAAGACAAATCTTGGTAATGTCTTAAATAAAGATCACTTTATAAAAGTGTCTCACAATCAGGTAAACATTTACTTTATCATTTGTTCACACCTAGCCTCTACTGGAAATGCTGTCAACACCCACTCCCCCACCATTACCCTACTTACCGTTACTCCATATGTTTCCTTTATATAAAAAGTCTAACTCTGTAAACCCCATCTTTACAATGAAAAATTATTTCATTAAGATGATTTACACAAAAAAATTAGCCAAACTTGAAAAATTGCCAAACACGGCAAGGATTTTCAGAATAACTAATTCACCAAAATTCACATTTTAGTAAACCAACCTCAATGTTCAATCACAGGATAATTCACTAAAGTGTGAATTGTGAGAATTAAAGTGAATTTAACATTTTAGGACAAAATATGTGATTTGGAAAAATTCTTAAACTCGTTGAGCTTTCAGTTCTGCTATTTTATCCTAAGATTTTAAATTCAGTTTATATTCACGGTAGTTCACACATTAGTAAATACCGGTGTTAGGGAATAATACTGAATGCAGGCCCTCCAACAGTCCCGAATTCAGAGGCCTGTCCCGCCGGCATAATTTAGATCCCTGGTGTCAGTGTGAGCGCGTCATTAGATCATCATTAGATGGCATGGTGCATGGACAGTAGGACCATCCAGAGAGCGACTCAGCAGCTCCCCCTACAAGGTCCTGCTGGGGGTTCTATTTTTTCCATGTTTCTATGAGTGTATTACAGAGCTCCACAGTAATAATACTCCCAGTAATGTGTCTGAGTGTATTACAGAGCTCCACAGTAATAATACTCCCAGTAATGTGTCTGAGTGTATAACAGAGCTCCACAGTAATAATACTCCCAGTAATGTGTCTGAGTGTATTACAGAGCTCCACAGCAATAATACTCCCAGTAATGTGTCTGAGTGTATTACAGAGCTCCCAGCAATAATACTCCCAGTAATGTGTCTGAGTGTATTACAGAGCTCCACAGCAATAATACTCCCAGTAATGTGTCTGAGTGTATAACAGAGCTCCACAGCAATAATACTCCCAGTAATGTGTCTGAGTGTATTACAGAGCTCCACAGCAATAATACTCCCAGTAATGTGTCTGAGTGTATTACAGAGCTCCACAGCAATAATACTCCCAGTAATGTGTCTGAGTGTATAACAGAGCTCCACAGCAATAATACTCCCAGTAATGTGTCTGAGTGTATTACAGAGCTCCACAGCAATAATACTCCCAGTAATGTGTCTGAGTGTATAACAGAGCTCCACAGTAATAATACTCCCAGTAATGTGTCTGAGTGTATAACAGAGCTCCACAGCAATAATACTCCCAGTAATGTGTCTGAGTGTATAACAGAGCTCCACAGTAATAATATTCCCAGTAATGTGTCTGAGTGTATAACAGAGCTCCACAGCAATAATACTCCCAGTAATGTGTCTGAGTGTATAACAGAGCTCCACAGCAATAATACTCCCAGTAATGTGTCTGAGTGTATAACAGAGCTCCACAGCAATAATACTCCCAGTAATGTGTCTGAGTGTATAACAGAGCTCCACAGCAATAATACTCCCAGTAATGTGTCTGAGTGTATAACAGAGCTCCACAGCAATAATACTCCCAGTAATGTGTCTGAGTGTATAACAGAGCTCCACCGCAATAATACTCCCAGTAATGTGTCTGAGTGTATAACAGAGCTCCACTGCAATAATACTCCCAGTAATGTGTCTGAGTGTATAACAGAGCTCAACAGCAATAATACTCCCAGTAATGTGTCGGAGTGTATAACAGAGCTCCACAGCAATAATACTCCCAGTAATGTGTCTGAATGTATAACAGAGCTCCACAGCAATAATACACCCAGGTCACACCCCACTCACACCCCTACATTGAAGGGTCCCGCTATGGCCATCTAAAATATTGGGAGGTATGTCAGACACTGAGTGGAATGTTGTTTGTGATACAGTAATGCAGTGATTTATGGAAGGCAGGTAAGTGCTCAGAGCTCAGCCTGGCTGTGCCATATGGCTTTCAATGTGCAGGTAAGTGTACTTACAAGCAGGTCCTTCTGGCTCAGCCAGTGGGGTGTTAGAGACCCTAACTACCATAACCAGTCATTCAAAACTCACCCCCCCCCTCACCCCCCCTGGCGTCCCGTCCTCGCTGTAAGAGAGAATCTGCATTTTACTAGCTCTCTTTATGGGAATAATAAGGATTTTCTGATGTTCTGCTCCACTTGCTGCCCTGATTACGACGCATAGAACAATAAAAGTAGGATATTTGAATTTATAAATTTCATGACAGTTTAGCTGCAGGGAATGAAATCATTCCATTTATTTAACTCTTGTGTGTTAGGATATTATTTCCCTGTGAGCATGTTTCACATCCACTGTCTGTGTATACAGTAATCATATCCTCTCAGTCACAATCTCCCGGTCCTGGCACGGTGCCCGGATTCCCGTTTTATGCCTGATTTCAGCTTAACTGATCAACAGCACTGACTGCCAATCAAACAGAGTCCTGCTCCAGTATTCAGACATGGTGGGATAGAACATAGGGTCCATTATTCCCCCCCGACCATAGCCACATGTCCCTCACTAAGGATAGCGTTTCTCTGAGTCCTGCTCCAGTATTCAGACATGGTGGGATGGAACATAAGGTCCGTTATCCTCCCCTCCGACCATGGCCACATGTCCCTCACTAAGGATAGCATTTCTCTGAGTCCTGCTCCAGTATTCAGACATAGTGGGATGGAACAAGATGCCATAGGGTCCGTTATCCCCCCTTGCCCCTAAACCATGGCCACATGACCCTCACTAAGGATAGCATTTCTCTCAGTCCTGCTCCAGTATTCAGACATGATGGGATGGAACAAGATGCCATAAGGTCCGTTATCCTCCCTTCCAACCATGGCCACATGTCCCTCATTAAGGATAGCGTTTCTCCTGGACACATATACCTTTTCCTCATGTTGTTGGGTTTTACTTGAAAAGTGCTTCCCCGCTGTATATAGAATGAATGTATTGCAGGAGGAACTTTGATTAGTTAGCTGCTACCATTCCTCTGAAGTTTCTTTCAGATTTTTTAATGAATTTCCTTTAAGGACCTGTTTAATTCTACATAGAGCAGGGCAGCACTTTACGTGCTCTGCCTCACAGCAAGCATAGGGAATATTTCTCCAAGAGAATGTGACAGCCCTAAATCCAATACTCAAAACAAGAATCTATGGATGGTCGTGTGCCAATTTACACCTTTTACCAGGGCCGGACTCGGAAGAAAATTCGGCCCGGGCATTTTTTAATTACAGCGGCCCACTACAAAGGGGGCGGGGCCAGATAGGGTGTGTTTTGTCGGCACCAATGACAAGCACGCCCCATCACAATGTGAGCATGTTGGTTCGATGCTCTTCCAGGGTAGACCATGCGCAGAACTCTGCTGAAGAGCTCTGGCATGAGAAAAAGACCTTGTATTTGTTCTGCACAGCGCAAGCAAATTCAATAACACGCTTTCACTGTGTTTGCGTGAAATTTGTCTCTGGTGTCTCCGTGGTTGGGATACCAGGAGACAAAAATGCCAGGAAAGCATATTGTGCAGTGTGTGTGAGGGTGTTGTGTGTGTATGTGAGGGGTGCAGTGTGTGTGAGGTGTGTAGTGTGTTAGTGATGGGTGCTGTGTTTGCGTGAGGGTGCTATGTGGGTAAGGGTGCTGTGTGTGTGTTCTGTGTGTGATTGGGTGCTGTGTTTGCGTGAGGGTGCCATGTGCGTTTGAGGAAGCTGTGTGTGTCAGTGGTGCAGTGTGTGTGTGTGTGTTGGTGTTGTAAGTGTTAAGGGTGCAGTGAGTGTGTGCTGTGCGTGTCAGAGGTGCAGTGAGTGTGTGCTGTGCGTGTCAGGGGTGCAGTGAGTGTGTGTGTGTGTGTGTGAGGGTGCTGTAAGTGTTAGGGGTGCAGTGTGTGTGTGCTGTAAGTGTCAGGGGTGCAGTGTGTGTGTGTGTGTGAGGGTGCTGTAAGTGTTAGGGGTGCAGTGTGTGTCTGCTGTGAGTGTCAGGGGTGCAGTGTGTGTGTGTGAGTGAGGGTGCTGTGAGTGTCAGGGGTGCAGTGTGTGTGTGTGCTGTGAGTGTCAGGGGTGCAGTGTGTGTGAGTGTGTGTGAGGGTGCTGTAAGTGTTAGGGGTGCAGTGTGTGTGTGCTGTGAGCGTCAGGGGTGCAGTTTATGTGAGTGTGTGAAGGTGCTGTAAGTGTTAGGGGTGCAGTGTGTGTGTATGTGAGTGAGTGAGGGTGCTGTAAGTGTTAGGGGTGCAGTGTGTGTGTGTGTGTGTGTGTGTGCTGTGAGTGTCAGGGCTGCAGTTTATGTGAGTGAGGGTGCTGTGAGTGTTAGGGGTACAGTGTGTGTGTGTGTGTGCTGTGTCAGGGGTGCAGTTTATGTGAGTGTGTGAGTGTTAGGGGTGCAGTGTGTGTGTGTGTAAGTGAGGGTGCTGTGAGTGTTAGGGGTGTCTGTGAGGCTGATGTGAGTTAGGTGATTATATCCCCCCTCCCTGCTTACCTTATGCCTGGGAGGGGGGATCCTGCTGCTGGGTCTGCCATCCATCCCTGGTGGTCTTAGTGTTGAGTGAACTCTAGCCTGTGAGGCTAGAGTTCACTCTCGCGAGATCCGGTCGTTGCCATGGCAACGCTCCGGATCCCGCGAGAGGAACCCGGCGAAGCTGTAAGATAGAGCTCCGCCGGGTCCTCTCTCCTGGCTGGCTGGCTCCCTCCCTCTCTCCCCCGGCGGCTGCACTATCCTGCATGTGGGCCGGTGAGAGAGATCTTTGATCTCCACACCGGCCCGCCGTGGACTGCTGCAGGGCCGGCGCTCGGATAGTGCCGGCCCTGGAAAGACCGGCAGGAGAGATCCTTGGACCTCCCCTGCCGGCCTCGGCCCATGGCCACCGCCGCCCACCGGGCATTTGCCCGATGTGCCCGATGGCCAGTCCGGGCCTGCCTTTTACATACATGGAGCCGCAATAAACACTTGTTACGGGCTGACAGGGAATTTCTCCTGAATCCTGTTTGGTGGGTCGCTTTGCGCTGGAATTCAGAACCGTTCAGGCCCAGAGGAGGCAGGCTAAAGCTATCCGGATAAGAGGCATGTGTGGGTGTGGTGGGTGTAGGTGTCATAAGGAGGGTGTCACTTAGGTTAGAGGAGTGGGGTGGGGTCATATAAATAACAGACATTTTGTCCCCCTACCTCAGCCATCTTAAAAAATAACGGCGTGGTAACAACTTCCCTCCCTCCCTCCCCTTGTTTGTTTGGTGTCGTTATCTTATTGCACATTACTAATTTCTTTTCTTGTCACAGACGGGGGGTATGGTCCTTGCCGAACCAGTTGGGAAAAGGAGTACACTGGAAGAAGGAATGCTGGGTCTGGTCCCACCCCTAACCTCGGGAAATGTTTAGGTATTTGGGCATACCCTCCGTGCCAGGAAAGGCTGCCAGGGGTTGGCATGGGGATTTGGAAGGCCAAGGTGAAGGCCAGATATCTTGGACGAGGGGGAGGGCTGGTGCCCTGGAGGGGGGGTACTCTAGAGGTATTATGGTCCGGTTGGCAAGGACGAGCTTGAGTTATATCATGCTCATATCTAAAAAGGATAGTTGGTTCATATATATGCTTGTTAATGTATAAATAAAGCTGTGGCATGTTTTATACCACATTTATGTTTCTTGGTTTTAATTGGCGGGAAGGGGGAGCGGGTTGTTGGATATAATGGGTCGCACCACACAATAACCACTACCTGCACACAAGTAAACCCTGAGACAGAGCAAGTTACTATCCAAAGGATCGCAATCAGGGTGAAATGGCCAAGCTGCCAGTCACACAGTGTATCCAGCGTGGCTACTTTTACCTAAATCTTGCAATTCAGATTTTTATTCGGCACAATTCAGTGAATAAACCCCACGTCCTGTGACGGTACAGAGCGATCTGACAGATTGTGGTGAGACGGACTGAAAGGACTGTCAACTGAAGCTGAACCCAAACTAGTAAATTATAAATAAAAAGAGATCTGGGATTTTCTATTTCTGTTTTCTGGTATTGTAATTGTTTTAGCAGTCGGCCGTGATTCACTGTTTAGTGAATGTAGCATTGGGTGCAGGACGTTTGAGAGCTGCAGTCTGCTATCGGTGGAGTAGCAGAGTCTGGTAACTACGTCACGGCTCAGGTGTGAGATTAACTGCAGAGAGCGAGGCTTTTCTCTGATTGTGCGGTTATTAATCCACAGAATAACATTGGACGTGACCAGGTTTCTCTCGTACTAAGAAAGTCGTCTAATGTATCTCTCGTTAGTGGCTGTCCTTAATATTGTACGGTTTGATGTAAAGGGGTTCAAAGCCGCTGTGCCAGCCAATTACAGCAGCAGTGACGGTCACTGAGGAGACAGAACGCTTTATTCAGAGAGCAGAAATAATCCTTCCAATATATACATTATATAGTGAGATATTCCGCACAATATGGAAAGCGTTCATTCTAATTAATATTCTTCAGCTACTCATCTGGATACAAGAGACAAAAAAATGATTTATTCCAAGCTTATTACACTCTGTTAGGCAATCCTCCCACTTGCTTCCGGTCCTGCATCACACGGGCTGTTTGACTTTTTTCATTATGATGACAAGTGTCGTGTGCCCGTGGAGACCTGTGTTATCATCCACAGCCCCTACACCACAGCTCTACAGTGGAAAGGTGGCCCCTGTCAATGCATTGTATGAGTGGCCCCTGGCCCTGCACTGTGAGTGGCCCCTGACCTTGCATTGTATGCGTGGACCCTGTCGATGCATTGTATGAGTGGCCCCTGTTGTTGCATTGTAAGAGTGGTCCCTGGCCCTGCATTGTGAGTGGCCCCTTGCCTTGGATTGTGTGCGTGGCCCCTGTCATTGTATTGTATGAGTTTCCCTTGGCCCTGCATTGTGAGTGGCCCCTGTCAATGCATTGTATGAGTGGCCCCTGGCCCTGCACTGTGAGTGGCCCCTGACCTTGCATTGTGTGCGTGGTCCCTTTTTATGAGTGGCACACAATGCAAGGCAAGGGGCCACTCACAATGCAAGGCAAGGGGCCACTCACAAGAGTGGCCCCTTGCCTTGCATTGTGTGCCTGGCCCCTGTCGTTGTATTTTGTGCGTGGCCCCTGTCGTTGCATTGTAAGAGTGGTCCCTGGCCCTGCATTGTGAGTGGCCCCTTGCCTTGCATTGTGTGCGTGGCCCCTTTTGTTGCATTGTATGAGTGGCACCTGGCCCTGCATTGTGAGTGGCCCCTGACCTTGCATTGTGTGAGTGGCCCCTGACCTTGCATTGTGTGCGTGGCCCCTGTCGATTCATTGTATGAGTGGCCCCTGACCCTGCATTGTGAGTGGCCCCTTGTCTTGCATTGTGTGCGTGGCCCATGTCGTTGCATTGTATGAGTGGTCCCTGGCCCTGTATTGTGAGTGGCCCCTGGACTTGCATTGTGTGAGTGGCCCCTGGGCCTATGCTGTGTGAGTGGCCCCTGGCCCTACATCTTTCCTAGCCGTCGCTGCTTTCTCTGTTAAGGATTGCAATAAATGTTAATAAAATGTCGTCTTGCAATCTGAGATCGGAATCCGACAAACGCCCTAAGGCCGGTAAGGGGAGTGTAAGGAAGAAGGGGCCATAATGTGATTATTCCACAATGATTAAATGTACTTAGGATAATTGTAACAATGGCTGTTACTTTATTTGATTTGTATTTGGCGAGAAACATAAAACAATTGCAGAATTGACACATTTCCATCTCGTGGCTCTCTTTGGGGGGGGAACCATGATAAAACATTGTTAGCCAGTGCGGCCATGCATATACCCACGTATGGAACACATGTATTGCTGCATGTGAATTGATTGATCCCATAGCTAGACTCTACAGCGTATCAAACCTCTAATAATGCCTGCAATTCTATTTACTAAACAGTGAAATGTAACGTGTCACCTCTGTTAATGTTCCTGTAGAAATAGCGAGCACCTGTGCCCGAGTCCTGGAGCATTGTATGCAAGGGTTAACGCGGTATGAGACGTGCGTCAGAGTTTCCCAGCGCGGGTGCTGTGGTGCTCTAAAGTTCTCTCCATCAGATAGTATAGATTTATAAATATATCTGTTATCGTTCTCAGTCCTGCAGCCACTACGTGTAATTCTCTCCCTTGCATAGTTCAGACATATCTGATCTATTCTCTGCCTGGGCTGCGAGGCGCTTCTCTATCTAATCTTCTCCACGCTTTCCACTGCGATCTGCTGCTCCTCCTGTAAACACAACCTGTAATATTGGAGATATAGGAGACTGTTAGCAGCACCCTTAACATTCCATGCGCTAGCAGCCTGACTGCGTGTTTAGAGAAAATAGAGCGCAAGCTCTTATGACCAGGCTATGTAGCTCAGTATTACAGAGATCTATCCTATTGCTGAGATCATTTATTACTGCTCTCATGACTATATTTATTGGTGATGTATGTAAAAACCTACAGCTATCTCATTCCGTAATGAACTCAGCAACAAACCTTCCGGACTGCACAGCTGGATTGGTCCTCTTGGAAGAGTTCGTCACAACTGAGTCCATACACAAAATATCTGAGCACATTGTTTGAACTTGGAAAAGTGATGGCCATAACCAATTTCAGTTCTTATTGGTTTAGTTACTGGTCATAGTAGTTGGCATTACTGGTTATGGGAGTTTGAATGACTGGTTATGGGATTTAGAGTTACTGGCTATAAGCGTTTGAGTTATTGTTTATGGTAGTTAGTATCTCTGGTTATGGGAGTTTGAATGACTGGCTCTGGTAGTTAGTATCTCTGGTTATGGTAGTTAGTATCTCTGGTTATAGTTAGTATCTCTGGTTATGGGAGTTTGAATGACTGGTTATGGGATTTAGAGTTACTGGCTATAAGCGTTTGAGTTATTGTTTATGGTAGTTAGTATCTCTGGTTATGGGAGTTTGAATGACTGGCTCTGGTAGTTAGTATCTCTGGTTATGGTAGTTAGTATCTCTGGTTATGGTAGTTAGTATCTCTGGTTATGGGAGTTTGAATGACTGGTTATGGGATTTAGAGTTACTGGCTATAAGCGTTTGAGTTATTGTTTATGGTAGTTAGTATCTCTGGTTATGGGAGTTTGAATGACTGGCTCTGGTAGTTAGTATCTCTGGTTATGGTAGTTAGTATCTCTGGTTATGGTAGTTAGTATCTCTGGTTATGGGAGTTTGAATGACTGGTTATGGGATTTAGAGTTAC